ATAGCCTTGCTGTGTAGAGCAATCTTGATTGTAGGCCTTAGCTTTTCATCACTTTGACTATTTCATGCCAATCCCTTCTGGCCTGCAAACTTTCTGTTGAAAAATCAGCTGATAGTCTTAAGGGGGCTGCCTTGTTGGTGCCCCATAGTCGTTGGTGCCTTTTCATGTGCTGCCCCAGTGCTGGAGCCCAGAGTCAGTCCAAGTCAGTGTGCAGGCCCTTGAATAGGAATTCTTGAGGTTCTAGGAGCCATGATCAGTCAGCCACAATCTCTGCTGATTTTGTTTTGGGGATTTCTCTTCCTGGCACTGGAATCCTGGGCTGAGAGTTCCAGTGTGGGACTGGGACCCCTTAGGGGTCACCTCCAGGTGACCTCTGAAACCAAGATATCCTCCCCCCCTTCTTTAAGATTTTTATTTATTTCTAGAGAGAGGAGAAGGGAGGGAGGGAGGGAGAAAGAGAGGGAGAGAAACATCAGTGTGTGGTTGCCTCAGTGTGTGGTTGCCTCTCATGTCCCCCCATACTGGGGACCTGGCCTGCAACCTAGGCATGTACCCTGACTGGGAATTGAACTGGTAACCTTTTGGTGTGCAGGACCATGCTCAATCCATTGAGCTGCACCAGCCAGGGTGATACCCTCCTTCCACATGTGGATGTGAGACCAGCCCTTTGCGAATTTTGCCCCTTCTATCAGTTTCCACCAGTCTTGAAGTGGCGTTTATATTCTTGGTTATAGGACAGGCATTCTGAATGATGGCTGTTCCATAATTTAGTTGTAATTTTGATGTGGCTGTAGAGGTTCCAAGTTACTACGTTTACCTATGCTATCTTGACTGGAGCTTCCCATCACTGATATTTTCAAAATTCACTGTTTCTTCCCAGCTCCAATATTTTGCAGTGCTCATATGAAACCTTATTGTGGAATGGAATGCTGAGGCTTCAAATTCTGAAAATGTACTTGCTAAAGTCAACAGGGACCTTTTAGTAGCCAGATTACTTGGATACTTTTTAGACTTATATGACCTTTCTCAGATATTTGTCATGGTTACCCATTTTCATTTCTTTGCTGAAACTCTCTTCTCCATTGGCTTGCTGTCATCTCTCTTAATTCTCTCACTAGGCTCCTTCACTTTCTGATAGCTTCTTTTTTTTTTTTAATTAATTTTTTACTGAAGTATAGCTGGCATATAACCTGAAGCTTCTTACAGTATCTGACAAGTTTTCATTATTTACTTTTTAATCTCCTTTTTTCTTTCTCATTATATGTCCCTTCTGAAGATTCTTTCACCACTTACATAGTTAGAGTCACTAGCTGTTTGCTAATTTTCCCAAGTCCTTTTCTTATGTCAGATCTCTTTTGAGCTTTTCACCTTGTATATTCAGTTACCTCTTCTAGTATATATCATTACTTAAATATATTTTGGCTACTTTAAGACAAAAGGTTTAAAACTGAGCTATATATATTCTTACCTCTTTTTTTTCCTTCTGTGTTTCCTGTCCAAGTAAATGTTACTATTATCCACCCAAAACTTGGGAATTAACTATTTTTCCCCATCTTTCACATCTGGTCAGTTATCATACCAAAAGCCTAGTGGTTAAAAGTGTGAGTCATTCTTGGTTTCAAGGATTTATATGTAGGGTTTTTTATCAGCAATGTAAGTCCATTTTGAAAACATTTATGAAGAAATAAAATGTATGGAAATATATTAAAAATGGAACAATTCTATTTAAAAGAGGGAGGTTCAGAACTCTACCTGCTTAGCCAGTTTCTCCCCACCCTTACTCAATAAATGTCAGTTGGAATTATTTTCCTAAATATTTCACTACTTGCTAGTTTTGTGACCTTAGATAAATCAGTCTGCCAATGCCCAATACGAGAATAAGAGACTTTTCTATCTATTTTAACAAGATGGTTGTAGGATCTAAAGAAAATAGTGTATGTTGTTTTAGCTTGGATTTATTTTATAAAAGGTATAAATATAACATACAGATATTTTGAGGTGATGCTTTATGTACATTTGGAATTACCTATGTCTTTCTAGTTAATCGTATTTGCCACACAACATCTTTTAAAAATGAAATGTTGGGTTAAGCTACAGAATTTGGATATACAGTAAGTTCTCCCTTAACATCATTGATAGGTTCTGGACCTGAAGAGAACTATTATTATATAAAAAAGAGCTAAGTCCTAAGGCACTCACCAAGTTATGATGAAATCATGTTATTTGAGCACCTGCTGTACTGCAGAAATTCTAAAAATTGAACACCTAGTTCATGTTAATAAAAGTTAAATAACCGAAGTGGAAAGCTACCAACTGTTTAGTCAGTAAATATTAACTAAAATGTTTGAAAGGTAAAGATTGTAAAGGGATGACAATTGTAACTGCTGGTAAGAGTATAAATGGTACAACTCTGGGGAACAGTTTGACAATAACTATCAAAATGTCCGAAAATATATACAACCTTTATCTCTTAGTCTATTCTGGCTGCTACAACCAAATACCATAACCTCAGTGGCTTATAAATAAGGAAGATTTATTTCTGACATTTTTAGAGGCTAGGAAGTTCAAGACCAAGGCATTAGAAGATTCTGTGTCTAGTGAGGTTCAGTTCTTGGTTTATAGTCTCTTAAAAGGATATTAATTCCATTTGTATGGGCTGCTCTCATGACCTAATCACCTCCTGAAGGCCCCACCTTTAAATACCATCACATTGGGGATTAGGTTTCAACATAAGAATTTGGGGTGGGAGGGGACACAAGCCTTCAATCTGTAGTATCTTTTGACTCAGATGTAGAGATATGAAAAGGGCTTTAGCTCTATGAATATTTATTTGCAACATTGTTTAAACTGGTAAAAACTTAGAAACACCCTGACCATCTAGCAATAGATGATTGGGTAAATAAAAGTTGGTACATCTATATAATGGAATATTGTTTGAGTATAATAACTATGTAACTTGTTTTAACATGGAGTAGGTGTTAATTTTTTTAATTTCTGCAATACAGCAGGTCCTTGAATATCATCTTTTTGTTATAACATTGATGAGATGGTGTAGGAACTTAACAATATTTACTGATAAGGAAAGATTTTCACATTTTGAATGAAATTAGCTGATTAAATTACTTTATTAAAAGCCATTCATATGCATATTGTGCACGTGATTTGAACATGTGGGCAAAAATCATGGTATGGAAAGACTATGCTGAAAGAGGTTATTGGTAATCTCAAAGTGTTGGAATTTTTTTTTAATAAGGAAAACACAATAGTCAGTTTGCATTTTTCTCCTCTCAGTAGTTTTACCAGGAAAAATATCACCATTTGTCTTTTAAGATTATAATCGTTATAATTTGTGCATATGTAATATACACATATCATCTGTTATGTGAGCTTCAGAGTTGTAAAGTGTGTGCAGGCAGAGTTTCAGGCATTAGGGCTTGATTGACCCTGAAGTAGGAGTGGAACTAAGTGGGAACATTAAATATTTATAAGTACTATATAAGATTTGTTTACCCTTGACATATTGCCCATTATTTGCTTGCTGTTGGTTTTTTAGAGTAAAAGAAGAAAATCTAAGAAGTAGATGTTGCTTGTTTCCCATTTTGTGGTGTTTTGGAAGGCCCAAGTAGAACTACTTGGTCGAAATTAAGAAGTAGATTTTTCAGTTCTATGTAGAGAGAATACTCTTTAATGAATGAAGTTATCATTAGGAGAGCAAGCCAGAAGGTGCAGGTGGTTGTGATATGAGTAGCACATAGTAATAGTCATAGTAAGATTCACAGTAATAGTAAGAATTGACATTTCCTCAACTTCCTTATCTAGGAATGGGATGTTTTTAATATGCCGTGAATTAAAAAGTAATCTCACCAATTCTATACTACTGGTAGTGTTTTTATTTCCTAAAGCATTACTGGCCAGTGGCATTGGTATTTACACAAGGAGAGTCATAGCAGCATTGTTTGTAGTAGTAAAAGCATGTTTCCATAGTGGAATAAAATATAAAAGTAAAAGCAGATTTACATCTGATAAAGAATGATTGTTAAGGGTGAGTTTATGTGACATTATAACACATATGTAATATACTACAGTTTGTTTTAAAAACAGGTATTATCCCTAGAAGGGCTATGCAAGGATGTTTGTTAATAAGTAGGTTATCTCTGAAAGAAAACATAAAATACTACTAAAGTGATTGCCTCAGGGATGGAATATTGGGGGTCAGTGGCGGGAAAGACACTTTACTGTGTACTTACATATGTAAAATTTGTTCAACCTTTTGTGTATATTAACTTTTAAATTAATTTACATTGTCTTAAAGAAAGTTCCACACAAATGACAGTTTGTATCACAATGGACTTAAGGCTCAAAAAAAAATTGAGATAGAGGAATACATTGGCTTAAGAGGTAGATAGCTAATTTTCTCTTTGAAAGAATGTAAGGAGGGAATGAAAAGAAATCTGTTAATTCAGCTTCGATTTCTTTATCATTCTAACTGAAATGTCTTATTCTCTAATAGTATACTAACTTGGTATAGCTTGTGCTCTTTTTCACCCACTCTAATGATTTAAAGATGTCTATAATATTAAAATACTAATTATATTTTTATCAGAACAAGTCTTTGTGCAAATTTCAGTTACTAGCCCTTGAGTGTGTATCAGCATAACAAGTAGTAAGGAAAGACTAAATGTAAACAAGAATGAAATTAATGACTACTGTTACAAATTGATACCTAATTATATAAGCCATTTCTTGACCTATATAGAGTGCCCACAGTTTATAAGATAATCATCACATTAGAAACTTAAAGCTAAAAGCTCAAGAATAATGTAATACATGGATGTCCTATGACAGGGCTAAATGTTTCAGAGGCTTGGGGGGGGCGGTCCTTGTATTGTGAAACACTTAATTTTTGGAAGAGAAGACGGTCATGAGCTTTTTAATACAATATTTCTTCAAAGTAGAAATGAAATTTTGTTTAGCAGTCATTTGAATTTGTTTTCTTTCAGAAATCGAGCTATAGCAGATTATCTTCGTTCAAATGGCTATGAAGAGGCATATTCTGTTTTTAAAAAGGAAGCTGAATTAGATATGGTATGTTTGACTTTTAAAAATATAAGTGGATTTACTTAAGTATCAGTAGTCACCTCAGTTATTCACAGATCTTATCATTTGTTATATTTATTTGGCACTAAATTTAATTTCCCCCCCTTTTTTGGTGTAATAAGATTTTTAGTAATGTTTGGTTAGACTCAAAGACCAATGGTCTGTATGGCTTGAACTATCATACTTGAGCCGTTTTTTTTTTAAAGGTTCTAATTTTTTTCCCTCTAGAATGAAGAATTAGATAAGAAATATGCTGGTCTTTTGGAAAAAAAGTGGACATCCGTTATTAGATTACAAAAGAAGGTAACTGAGTTTTTTCTTTGAAGTTAGCTGTATTTGGAGTGGTCTCACAAACTTTCTGAAATACTGACATAAATCATTTTTCTGCATGAATTAAGAATTATATTTAATCTTTTTTAAAAGATGTGTTTGTTTATTTTTAGAGGGGGGAAGGAGAAGGAAGGAGAGAAACATCAGTGTGTGAGAGAAACACCTGTCAGTTGCCTCTCACATGTCCCCCAATCAGCAACCTGGCCCCTCAACCCAGGTGTGTGCCCTAACTGGGAATCAAACTGCGACCTTGCTTTGCAGGACAATGCCCAACCCACGGAGGCATACCAGTCAGGGCTAATTATATATAATCTTGAAAAGGCAAATAAGAATACATCTATTCATTATAAAAAACTTTGACTCAGACAGATCAGTGTTGATGCCTGCTAACTTGTGCAATTTGAGTACTGGCTGGATTCAATCTACATAAACCAGACTTTAGGGAATTCATAGTAAAGAATTATTTGTGGTCCTGGCTGGTGTAGCTGAGTGGATTGAGTGCCAGCCTGTGAACCAAAGGGTCACTGGTTCGATTCCCAGTCAGGGCACGTGCCTGGGTTGCAGGACAGGTCCCGGAGGGGGTGTGAGAGAGGCAACCACACATTGATGTTTCTCTCCTGCTCTCTTCCTCCTTTCTCCTCTCTCTGAAAATAAACAAATAAAATCTTTAAAAAAACCCTTTCTATAAGAACTGACTTGTGTACTTGTTTGGATAGGAAGAACGCATGGAGCCAATATGGTGCTGAGAAAAGAACACCAAAGTGTGCCCTTAAGTTATTTTTATCTCTGAGCTTTTATTTTGATTTGTAAAATGAAGGCAATAAATAATACTGAGGTCCTAAAATTTATACTTCTTGTAGCCAAAGCTAGAATAAATAAATAACATTGTTACAACATGAATTAATGTGTAAAGCACTCTTAGAAAAGTACCAAATACATAGATGTTAAATAAATATTGGCTTTTATTATAAATATTAATATTAGCATATATAATGTATACTTGGTTTGGGAAGAATTTACTAAGAGTAGCAAACTTACAGGGATCAACACTAGTGCACTGCTATTCCTCTCAATAATAGATATAAATTGAAAAAAATTTTTTCAGTTAAAGTCAAACTGGTACTGAATATTTCTCAGTTTTCAATTTTGTCTCACAACAAAAATTTTGATAATATAGATAATTTTTAATAAATGATGAATGTAAATTACTGAAATTTTTCAAGTGTCTTGCATGCGTACACACACATATGTAAAATAAAAGCAGGGTTTTTTTAATGTCAGATATATTATTTTATTGGAGTCTATCTGTGTATATAACCACATATTGATTCTCCAGGTTATGGAATTAGAATCAAAACTAAATGAAGCGAAAGAAGAATTTACATCGGGTGGACCTCTTGGTCAGAAACGAGACCCAAAAGAATGGATTCCCCGTCCACCAGAAAAATATGCATTGAGTGGTCATAGGAGTCCAGTCACTCGAGTCATTTTCCACCCTGTGTTCAGTGTTATGGTCTCTGCTTCAGAGGATGCTACAATTAAGGTAATTTTTTTTCAAGATGAAAGATAATTCTAAAAAGAAGATTTAAGTTTAATTAGGTGAAACAAATTTTATTAATGAAGACCTAAAAAGAGAGAAAGTAGAGAGTCTTTGAAACTCTGATTTGTTCTAATCCTTAAAATACAAAATTAGATAGGGTTCGAGTGTTAAAAAAAGAAAGAATTAGAATAACATTAGAATAAAATTGTAGCTCCCGTATGGTAAGCTGCCAAATAAGTTCACTGATGAATTTGAGAGAATTGGCTAATTTAGTGTTGCACAATAGTTCAGTCACCTAGTGCTTGAATAATTTTTGTTCTTAAATAATCAATATGTAAGTGTGTGACTTTTAAGCAGAAGTGATAGATGAAAATACAGGATTACAACATTAGTAATTCAGCAGATGAATGTATTCTGCAGAAGAATTTCAGTAAAGGATTTATTTAAATTGGGCTCTCGTTGATGTATTTAGTATTGGCTTTGATTCCAAACTAAACAGTAGTTCTCTCCCAGGTGTAAGAACAGAGGCATATCACTTTATAAGTTATGTGTTTCATCAGTAAAAAAGATTGTACTTAAAATTCTTTCTGATCCAGACAATGACAGTTGTATAAACCACCTGCAGAAAGACAACTATAGTTAAAAGGTTTAGGTAGGTGTCTCTCTTCTAAGGCTTATTTCCGTTTAAGTTATATTTGTAGAGGTTTAAGAAAATGTAGGTAGATTGTTAAGATTGTGTGTATTGCACAAAATCAGTCTAACATAAAATTCAGGAAATAATTGTGATTATATTTAACCGGTTTTTATATTAAACATTGTTTTATGTTCTTCTTACACGATTTCTTTAGTTTCTTAATTAGCAGCTTCCTTCTATCCTGTAGGGTGGTGATCCATGGGGCGGGCTGCAGAGTCATTGGAGGAGTCTTAAATTCATGTGTTCATCACGTATTTCTGTAGGATGAGATGATTACATACCTAATACCTTAATATATTGCTGTTTTTCAGATGTATGTAGACATGTCTTTAAATTACTGATTTTATGCTGATCTGCTAAAAAACTGCCCTATCATGAGGCATAGGGGTAAAGGCAGACATTCTTGAATAGGTTGAAAACCTAGTCTTAACTATTGACTTTGCAGTGGTGGTCGAAAAGCATAAATAAAACTGTAAATGTCTTAAAATATATCTGTGGAGTCAACTTTAAAATACTACAAATGGTACATACTCATTTCCTTTCTCTTAACAGATAATTTTGTGTAAGCCTTATTATTTTTTAGATTGCCAAGGTATATATATTCTTTACATCTGTTTTATAACTCTAAGTTTTCTATGTTCCTGTTATAAAAATAGAGAACCAATAAACATCATTTACCCCATGGAAAAAAATAAAATATTACAAAGTTTTAAAATTATCTATAATCATACCACATATTCATCAACTACTCAGTTTCCCTTCCTTTTAGTCTTAATTCAGTGTGTGCACGTGGTGGGTTGTTTCATTAATAAAATGCATTTGTATTTAGTTTTATTTCCTTTTTAGATTAAACTTAATCTAGAAACACCTTATTTTGTTCCTAATGAATCATGATTTTTAATGAATTAAAACTAGTTTTATTTGCATGGAGGCTTTATAGGGTAATTAGTGGTCGAGAGCACAGATTCTGTGTTTAAGTACTGACGCAGCTGTTTGATAAAATTTTTATTTATTTTTTAAAAGGTTTTTATTTATTTACAGAGAGAGGGGAAGGGACAGAGAAAGAAAAGGGGAGAAACATCAGTTGGTTGCCTCTCAACGTCCCCAGCTGGCCTGCAGCCCAGGCACGTGTCCTGACCAGGAATTGAACCATCCACCTTTTAGTCTGTGGGGCTATGCCGAACCCACTGACTAAACCAGTCAGGCCCCATTTAATGATTAGTGTGATCATGGGCAAATTAACTTTTTATGCTTCCCTTTCCTTATCTGTGAAATGAAGATAATTAATACTTATCTCAGGGCTTTTGGGAGGATTAAATGAGTTTTACAGGGAAACTGCTTAACACAGTGTCAGTTGTATACTATAAAGGAGTACTTAGTGTCATCAGTGTTTCAGCACCATTAACACATCTTCCTTTGGATTTAAAGTGTTTAGCCATCTACTATCAAAAATAGTGTTCTTTTCATTTTTATTCATAAAGCTTTTTTCTCATAAATTCCTTTAATATTTTGTGGTCAAATATTTTGTAGAAAGGTAAAAAAAACCCTTTCTACTCCTCTTTCATATTTTCTTTATTTAGTTATGTTAAATTAGGTGATTTCTAAGTGATAGTTGTGATAGAATTACTTTGCAGAAAACTCAAAGGAGAACACATGAGTTTTTTGTAATTTTGTGACTGTATTGGGTAAAGTGATTAAGTTTAAGGATCAGTTCTCTCCTTTGTTGGGAAAGAGGATTAAAAATATGTCATAAGATTCTTTTGCTTAAAATGAAGTAATGTATATAATGTACATAACAGTATAGTGCCTGGCAGATTTAGATAGACGGTGAGGACTCAAAAAACTGTAGGTAACGTGCCCTGGCTGGTGTGGCTCAGTGGATTGAGTGCCGGACTACTAACCAAAGGATCGCCATTTAGATTCCACGTCAGGGCACATGCCTGGGTTGTGGGCCAGGTCCCCAGTAGAGGACATGCGAGGGGCAACCACACATTGATGTTTCTCTCCCTCTCTTCCCCTCTATCTAAAAATAATTGAACAAAATCATTAAAAAAACAAAACAAAACAAAATAAAACTGTAGCCAGCATTACAGTTAAGACAAAATTAAATTTTTTATTATATTAAATAATTGTTTTGTGCATCTGGTAAATACTGCAGGTCTGTGTTAGTTTATAAATGGGAATTTCCTTTTAGAGCCATTGATTGACATCATCAACATTTGAACTTTAATACAGGAAAACTGTTAGAGGGTTGGTATTTGGAATAAATAGTTCATGACAGTATATTTAATTACATCATTTAAATTTTTGAACTATTGCTGGTTGTTATTTAGAATTCTTAAATATTTGTTTAAAAGTGAACAAACAAAACTAAAAAATACATTTAACTAATAAAGCAGATTAAGGATTGCCAACTTTAATATATAGAGAGTTCAAACAAATATGAAAAACAAGTATCTCAGTTTAAAAAAAAGAACCGTGAGGCCTGGCTAGTGTAGCTCAGTGGATTGAGAGCGGGCCTACAAACCGCAAGGTTGCAGGTTCAATTCCCAGTCAGAGCACATGCTTGGGGTTGCGGGCCAGGTCCCTGGTGGGGGCTCACGAGAGGCAACCACACATTAATGTTTCTCTCTCTCCTTCCCTTCCCCTCTCTCTGAAAATAAATAAATAAAATCTTAAAAAAAATAAAAGAACCATGGAACATGAACAGATAATTAATAGAAGAAAAACGGCTAATCAACAATAATAGGTTTTGGTCTTACTAATAGTAGAAGAAATGAAAATGAAAATTCTATATACCAATCTGCTAAGATATTGTACTTTTTAAGTGAGAATTCCCAGTGGTGATAAGAATTTGATGAAGCAGGCACTCTCATTACTTTGATACAATCTAATGGGAGAACAATTTTACAGAAAATATGAAGAGCTGGGAAAATTTACACTTTTTGACCCAAATTTTTCTTTTTTCCATCACTGTGACCTAAGTATTGCAAAATGAGGACAGTTAATTTTTCAATATTCAAAGATTTTTTCACATGTATATTTTCTGTAATGAAAAATTTTAGCCAGCAGTAGGAATACTTTTAAGAAATAATACTAAATTTTTAACAGCACTGAAAAATTCTTATTGTAAGAAGCAAAAGGAAGACGGGAAAGGAAATATAATGAAGTATATATAATCACTATACTTAAAGGGCATAGAGAAAATGAAAAAAAGATGCCATTGTTAGAGATATTTTTTATTTCCTTTATATCAGTGCATTATAGATTTTTTATCATGAGCATTTACTACTTTTATAATCATCCAAAAGGTAAATATAAAGAAAAATAAAATTCCTACTAATTCTTGACAGTTATAAATGAACTGAAATGCCTTGTTTGCTCACCATTTATGAAGAGATACACATTTCATTGTCTGGTTATATTTATTTTTAGAGAAAACGTTTAGTATTATTTAATGAATATAGGGAAAGAAAATTAACTTGAAACTGAAGTGAACTTCAAGATCAACCTACTTACTTTCAGTATGTGAAATAGTCATCTGAACTCTTTAATTCTATCTAAGAATTAAACACTGAGATAACAAAGTAAGACAAAGATATTACAAAAGAAATAGGCCAATACAATACCATTTATGAACATAGACACAAGATCCTATAACATATTACAAGCAAATTGAATCCAACAGTTCAGTTAAAATTTTAATATATGATAACCCAGTAGGATTTATCCCATAATGCAGTATTGGTTCTACATTTGAAAAACATTAAATGTGATATATAAGCAGTGAAACATAGCAGGTTCAGAAAAAACATTTGACAAAATTTCAGTATCCATTCATGAGAAAAACTGAACAAGCTAGGAAGGGAGCTTCTTTAACCTGATAAAACATATAAAGGTATATGAAAAAATCCACAGTGGACATAATACTTATTGCTGGAAACTGAGTGCTTTCCCTGAGATCAGAAACCAAGGCCAGGCTGGATGTCCAGTCCCTTCCACTTACATTCACCTTTGTACTGGAGTCCCTAGCCAGTGCAGTAAGACGAAAAAGAAATAAAAGGCATACAGATTTAAAAGAAAAAAATGAAACCGTCTTTATTTGCAGGCATGATCTAGGTAGGAGATCCCAAAGAATCTGCAAAAAAAAAAAGCTGCTAGAACTCTACATTTAACAGTCAAAGGATACAAGGTCAATATACAGAGGGTAATTGTACTTGTATAAAGTAGCAATGAATAACTGAAATTTTAAAATGCCACTGATGGTACAATAGCATCAAGAAACCACAAAATACTTAAAGGCTAAATCAAACAAAATTAAACACAGCAATCACTTCCATGTAGAACTATGTGAATACTGAAATGGGAAAAAAATTTTTGTTCATATTGGGAAGGGTATGGAAGTTTTCTATTAAATATTTTTATAAGGTAGTTTATTTTTTTCTTAGGTTCATTTTTTATGTCATTATGATCTCATGTAATTATGTGTTCTTTTTATATAACATTGTATGCTTGTCATAAATTCCTTACAGTTGTAAATTTTATATTTTAGCCATTACCCATGTTGAATATTTAGGTCATTTTCCAAGTTTTCAAAATGCATTTTGTAAGTTTCTTTAAATTGGTTGACATATATACCCTGCCACAGCTAAATTTGAACTTATGGGAAGAATGGAATCAATCATTTGATTTTAGAGCAATGTAATTGCTTTTGGTTAAAGATTAAACTTCAGACTTGCATTTGACCATCAAAATGTTCTTGAGATCTGTTTCTAATAGTATTTATTCTTGATAGCACATTATTTCTGTTCCCTTAGAAAAGTCATCTTTAAAATATGTGACTGTGACTTTGTTTTTACATCAGAATGACATTCTTTTGTTAATCTACTGTTCATGGAGTTACATCATGTGAACTCTCTTCTTGGCCTCTTAGATATCCGAGTTCTGCTTGTCTAGTAGAATCGAATAATCCTTACTCCTTTATCTTCCTTCCATTTTATGTATAGTTCCCCACCCCCAAACTTTTTTTGTATTTAAATTTACTTATTTGCATGTCTGTTGCCTGCTATCAGACTGGGAAGGGACTTTGTCTTGTGGCTTTATATACCTAGTCACAAGTATAATTAGGTGTATGGTAGATAAGGCTTGCACTGTCAGTTTTCTCTATAGAGAGAAGATCAATTTATACTTGAGGATGTGGTAATTTCTAAGACAGTTACCCTTTGTCACTTTCTCAGTTAATTAGTAAAGTGCCAGACTGGCCTGCTGAGTGCAAATGTGAAATGAGAAAGTGATGGGTTGATAATAACCAATTTTCTGTTCACGTGACAGGTGTGGGATTATGAGACTGGAGATTTTGAACGAACTCTTAAGGGGCATACAGACTCTGTACAGGATATTTCATTTGACCACAGTGGCAAGCTTCTGGCTTCCTGTTCTGCAGATATGACCATTAAACTATGGGATTTTCAGGGCTTTGAATGCATCAGAACCATGCACGGTAAGGAGCAGAGGATAGTATTTTGATATTGATTTTAACATGGCATTGCAGACAGAAGAATATTGTTTCTAATAGTGTGTAGGTTCCCTTCACTCAGTTCTTAATTGCCTGTGTTGGTGGAGGACCATATGATAGATAGGCCATGGATAAGCTGCCATAGTTGGAAGTTGTTTTTGTTACAAAGTTTTAAGTATCTCTAAGTGGTTTACATAAAGTATTTGTTTTTTAAAATATTTTTGGATAAGAAAAACTGCTAAGACATCTATCTGCATATCTTTGAGAAAATGAAATTACTGGGTTTCTTCACTTTTCTCAATTGGGAAACTAAAGTTCAGAGAGAAGGGATATAGTAAAAGCTGGAATCCAGATTTCCTTGCTCACTTTTTAATGTTCCACATATACTGTAGTCACATTGTTAGGTTGTTGTCCCGGGTTTTGTCGTGGAGACTTTCTCTGAGGCAATTTGGCTTTGTGGAAAGAGCTTTGGAATCAGATATCTGGGTTCAAATTTCTACTTGTTTACTTATGGCATTAGGAAATTTTAACCTCTTTCATCTGCAAGATAGAGGTAATCATACCTAAGTCATACACGTGTTGTGAGGATAAAATAACATACAGGCGTATCTTGGAGATAATCGAGGGTTCGATTCCAGACTACCACAATAAGTAAATACCACAATAAAGCGAGTCACGAATATATTTGTTGGTTTTCCAGTACATATAAAGTTGTGTTTATACTATACTGTAGTCTGTTGAGTGTGCAGTAGTAGTATGTGTAAAAAAAGAACATGCCTTAATTTTAAAAACGTTATATTGCTAAAGAAATTCTTATTACCATCTGTGCTTTCATTGAGTCATAATCTTTTTGCTGGTGCAGGGTCTTGCCTGTATGTTGATGAAAACACAGTATCTATGAAGTGCAGTGTAGCAAAAGCTTTTATATTGCAAAGTGCAATGAAACAATGGGATTCCTGCACTTAATTATCTTGGTTTAGTACCTGGCACATACAAGGTGCTCAGTAAATAAGAGTTTTTGTTTCTTTAAAGATGATGAGGTCTGAGTGTTTGGATTTATATATGTGACACATACTGTGTTAATAATAAAAGTTTTTTCTAAAGAGATTATCCCGTGATGTTAGCACATGAGTAAGCTATGTGGTTGCATAGTGGGTGTAATTTGAAGGGTGTGTTTTCTTCCCTAAGTAAATGCATTGAAGGAGCTTACCAAGTAAAGGAATTCTGGTGAATCCTTTTGTAAAATCTAATACGTGTTTTTAAGCAGTCTGTGTCTTTTTCTAACTTAAGAAGAAAGTTCTTTCCAGCCATTGTATTTTCTTAAAATACTATGATAGTTTTGAGGACTCTCTGAGGCTTTTTCCTTCAGAGGTAGTTGATTAGGATTATGAATAATGTATATGGAGTAATGCATTTTTTACCTCCATGAACCTCACCAAGAAAAAATTTTCAACCACTATTTTAAATATAGTGGTGTTTTTTCTTACCTAATTTTTTTAGCTTTGCAGATTTTATTTCTATTTTATATCTTAAAATATCAACAGTGGAAAAAATGTGTTTTTTCTAGTGTTCCTACATAAACATTTAGTGTATTAATACAAGGGTGGGCAAAAGTAGGTTCATTTACTAGCTATCATTACCTAAAAGATAAACCATAAGAAGGTATACAAAATAATAATAAAAAGAAAGGTAATAAATAATAATACAAGAATAAACTGTTTTATGTGCTTACAGTTATAAACTTACTTTTATCTACTCCTGTATATTCAGATGTTGATGATACTGATGCCTTATGGTTTTAAAACAGTTGTATAGGTTGAAATTTAATCATAAATTGAGTTGACTACTTATTTCATTGTAGATTTTTTTAATTGTCACTAGTTCCTTAACTTTTTTTGCATAAATCTAAATTTACTTTCTTTCAAATTTATATAAAACCCAGTATGTTTAAAGTTGCTGTATTATTTGAAATCCCATGGTGAAATCTAATGGTAAAGTGAGGTTTTAATTTCTCTTGGTATATCACTCAGTACTTTGCCATGTTGTGTGTTTTAGGCCATGACCACAATGTTTCTTCAGTAGCCATCATGCCCAATGGAGATCATATAGTGTCTGCTTCAAGGGATAAAACTATAAAAATGTGGGAAGTGCAAACTGGGTAAGTAGATTTAGTTGAATGTCTGCTAAAGCGATTGAACAAAATTGTGTCCTGAATGTTCCAGTGGTTTTGGCTTTCACCTGTAATGATCACCATGACAGTTGTATTATATACTTTAAAACCTAAGTTTTGATCTCTGACTGTATCCCCAAAAAGAACAGAGAAGTTACAAAAGAAACTCATGTCTTTTGGGAGCCATTTTCTGTGTAATGGCTTATTTTCTCTATGGTCTTCTTTTAGGTGATCCCTCTTTGGGTTGAAATAAAATGTAAATAACATTTGTGCAGGTATGCCCCTATTAGGTTTAATTTGATTGTGCTTAGAATTACATGATAGTTAAAATAGAACCTTAACCGACCAGTTTTACTCAGATTAGTAGAGCATGCCTTTTTCCCGACGTGGCTAGAAATGTTTTTGTTAAGTTTATTGTGTGTGTTTAGTTTTGAAAAGATTTTCTCTGTATATTTTACGTTCTATACTCTGTTGATTTGGTTAGCTCCTTAATGATACTCCCATCAGCTTATTTTAACTGATGTTTGACTTTCCAGCCTGTCCTCATCTTTTATTAACCAGGAATGTACATTTATTCTGCTGACTTTATGTGCATACAGTTTCACTAACTTGTTGCCATTCTCTTTATTCCAGTACACATAGCAGGTTCTGGGAAGTGTTTCCAATGGATTGCCATTCACAATGTAAATTATTGCTTATTTTGACAGCTACTGTGTGAAGACATTCACAGGACACAGAGAATGGGTACGTATGGTGCGACCGAATCAGGACGGCACTCTGATAGCCAGCTGTTCCAATGACCAGACTGTACGCGTATGGGTTGTGGCAACAAAGGAATGCAAAGCTGAACTTCGAGAACATGAGCATGTGGTGGAGTGCATTTCCTGGGCTCCAGAAAGCTCATATTCTTCCATCTCTGAAGCAACAGGATCTGAGGTACTGTGATTGTGTGTCATTTCATGATTTTATTGTTGGTGTCTCAGAATTTTCTGATTTTCAAATCCAGGGCCATTAATGCATTTGAAAATCTGTATTCCAACATTCTGAATCTTGAACTTCTTTACTCTTTTCAACTTGCCGATGTGTTTATATTTTTTAACTGGTGACGGTATTGCTGTCAGCTGGCCTGTGATGGTGGTGGGGGTTCTCCTAAAGTAAAAGTGGTCATTCAAATTTATCAAATTCTATTGTTTTAAGAGTATACCAGTGCAAAATAAAACTTATGGGAGAGGTTAAAGTTATCTTTGAGAAGAAAATCACCTTTTAATAAACATAATTATTTATAAAATAATTTTTGGTGGAATGCAGTTTACTATTTAAATATTTGTTTTAAATGAAGAATATTTCATATTGGAGGCATCTGATACCCTTGATCATTAGAAGCACGAAGTCTTGAGTTTTATTCTATTTCTTTATTATTCTTGTGTTCTTCATGACTTTATTTTTTATGATTACTTTATAAGTAAATTAATATATTTTAATAATATATATTAAATAATATACTCTAAAAGTAAATTATAGAGTATTATCTCTGAATAAATTGTTATGAGCCAAAGTTAACTATTTTTTAAGACTTTTCTAATGTGGATTCTTAAAAATTACATTTTAACAAATGAAGGAGGAGAATCTCCTTTGCCAACTCTCACAGAGGCCTCCCCTCCCCCCCTTCCCAATATTTTTCTAAATGAAGGTTCTGTTGTAATCTATTTTTGTTGGCTGTTTGCATTTTCAAATTCTTTTTACTGCCCTCTGGTGGTGGTTACTTACCATATGTCATAAATTTGAATGCTGAATTAGTTTTTAAATCCTTCTCTTTCTTAAAAAAAAGATTTTATTTATTTTTAGATGGGGTGGGGAGGGGAGGGGAGGGAGAGAGAAGGAGGAAGAGAAACGATGCATGGTTGCTTCTCTAGTGCCCCCTACTGGGGACATGGCCCACAACCCAGGCATGTACCTTGACTGGGAATCAACAGGCAGCCCTTTGGTTCACTGGCCAGCCAAACCAGCCAGGGCAAAAATCCTTCTGATTACAGACTCTTGATCAGCAAGTTTATCATTCTTGGTATTGTAGAAACTCAATACTTGGGCTATTGTCTTAACCCAAAGTGGACATTTTCTGTTTTTATATTACCTGGGTCCTGGGTATGGCTGCGTATGTTAAAAAACTTGTCTATTTTGAGAGTTAAGATGGGTAAGTACTGGAGATGTAATGTACAGTATACTGGAAATTTACTAAGGAGCTAGTTCTTAAGTGTCCTCATCACCAAAAAAAAGGGAGGTTATGTGAGGTGATAGATACGCTGATAAGCTAGATTGTAGTGATCATTTTATAGTGTATACATATTTCAAAACATCAAGTTGTATGCTTAAATAGATAAAAATTCTTGTCAATAATTGCATTTTTATAAAATTAGAAATACAGATCACTGATAGAAGTAATTTAAAGTTCTTATATAACTTCTTGCATGGGAAACTTAATTTTTATGTTTTCTGTAGACTAAAAAAAGTGGCAAGCCTGGGCCATTCTTGCTGTCTGGTTCCAGAGACAAAACTATCAAGATGTGGGACGTCAGTACTGGCATGTGCCTTATGACTCTTGTAAGTTTGAATAATCTCACTGCTTCTGTTTTTATCTCCTTCTACTGTGTGTATACCTTCTTGGGTGTGATACCTTGTAATATGTATTTAATCTAAATTCTTCCAGGCTTTAAAATATCTTCTTTATAAAGATAGGTTTTCTTCGACTTTTATCATTCCATTGTTTCAGTGACATGAAAGTTATTCCTAATCAATGTCATCTTATATAAAGGGTCTAGGAAGACAGTGCTCAGAAGGATATCCTAGTCCACTTGTATCTTTTAAAGTGATACATCTGTGAAGGAGAACTTTGTATAGACTCACTTACTTTTGAAGCTGTTTGCTTCTCTGTTTTACTGTATTTCATTTTAATATGAATCCTTTAACTTTATACCTGCTTTTTCACATGTTCCAGTTTATTTGGTTTATTTTACTATCCTGAAATTAATGGTGCTGGCTTTATGACTTAGAAATGCTTATCTCATTTTAGGATCACCTAGATTTCAGTATGAGGATATATAACTTGTGGACATTCTTGTTTGCTTAAATTTCTAAGGGCATCTGTGGGCATTAATCCAGTGGCAGTTTTTGCAATTTGACATCCATGTTTTAGAGATTCTTTAAGTGCTAACTATACTTTGAAGTGATTATCTCTCTGTAGAATATGATAGACACATGGAAGTACCATTAATAATTGATTACTCTCCTCTAGTAGTAGCCTGGGCGAAGTTCAGATATGCTGTATTGCTGTTAAAAGTGATGGTTCACATTTAAAATCAGAAAGCATATGCTCTCCTCTTCTGTAACAACACAGGTCACCATCAATTTACCTGGAAGTTTCTGGCTCCTATTTTTCAGTTGAAGGCAGGTGGGGGTGTGTGTGCTTTTTTCCTGCTTTATTTTAGTGTGGCCACACGAAATGTGATTTGCCTTTTTTTTTTTTTTTTTTAAGATTTCATTTATTTATTTATTTTTAGAGAGAGGGGACAGGAGGGAGGAAAAGAAGGAAAGGGACATCGACGTGCCAGCGAAACATTGATTGGTCGCCTCTCACATACCCCTAACACGAGCACATGCCCTGACTGGGAATCAAATAGCCACCTTTTTGTTTGTGGAACTACGCCCGTCTCACTGAGTCACACCAGTCAGGGCTGCTTTGACTTTTGTAGAGATTTCCATGTCTAGTGATTGGTGACTTTTATAGGTCACTTTAAAGAACAAAGTTTTGTAAATAAGAGCAAAGGCAGAGTAAACCAAGGCAAAGGATATATTGCTTTGGTAGTTTTTTTATTTTTAATTTGCACTATGCACCATTGTAGCTACTAGTCACATGCAGCTATGGTGCTCTTGAAATGGGGCTAGTGAGACTGAAGAACTGAATTGTTGATTGTTTTTAATTTTAGTTAGTTTCTGTTTAAATAGCCACATGTGATGGCTACCCCTGTTACACTGTGCAGTTCTAAACCTCTTTCTTATGTTACTATGTAGGTGAATATGATAGGTCTTTTTTTTTCCCCATAAATGTTATACTGTACATATTGCTTTGTAGTAAACTTTTAATTTAGAGGTTATATGACACTTGCTCATCATTAGATACACTCTACATTGATTACATGTAGTGGTTTTTTAAAAAGATTATGTATGTATGTATGTATGTATGTATGTATGTATTTATAGAGGGGGGAAAGGAGGGACAAAGAAGAAGAGAAACATTGATTGGTTGTCTCTCACACACCCCCATCTGGGGACTGGCCCTCAACCCAGGCATGTGCCCTGACTGGGAATTGAACCGGCGACCTTTTGGTTTGCTGGCCAGCACTCAGTCCACTGAGCCACACCAGCCAGGGCTGATTACATGCAGTGCTTTGATGGACATCTTTGTTCACTAAATCTCTGAGTACCTTCTTAATTATTTTTTAGGCTGAATTGAAAGAAATGGACATGCTAGGACAGGGGGTTGGATGGATGGATGGATAGATATGGAGTGAATACTTGTATATCCTTTACCTAGACCCCCAAGTTGTTAACATTTTTTGTATGTGTTTATGTATATTTTGCTGAACAATTTGAGTTACTTGTAGATCTTGTACATGTGTCTCCTAAGAACAAGGATAGTCTACCTTCAACCAGAATAAAATTATCACACTCAAGAAATTAACATTATTAACATACTACATAATTTCTTCAGTTAATCCCAGTAGTGTTCTTCATAACTTTATTTGCCTCTATCCAGGAGTCAATTAAGCACTGCTCCATTGCACTTACTTGTTAGTTTTCAGTTTTCTTTAATCTGGAATTCCCTAGACTTTTTTTTTTTATTTGTCTTTTTTGGTGTTAATGTTTCCGTGCATGCAGTTTCAGTGTGCTTCGAGTTATGAATTAATGTTTTCATAGCTGTTATTTAAATTTATCTTTTCACTAAGTCACATACCTTTTTGTTTTTAAGGTGGGTCATGATAACTGGGTACGTGGAGTTCTTTTCCATTCTGGGGGGAAGTTTATTTTGAGTTGTGCTGATGACAAGACCCTACGTGTATGGGATTATAAGAACAAGCGATGCATGAAGACCCTCAATGCGCATGAACACTTTGTTACCTCCTTGGGTATGTATTAGTTATGAGGTTTCTGAGCAGTTAGATTTTTGGAGTGCCAGATATAACAGGTTTCATGTAACCATATGGATTTTTCCAGGTAAGAAATGATGGTGGATTTTAGGGCAGAATAGAAAAGAACAATTAAAAAATTTGCAAATTCTTAACATCTGTTTTAAGTTCACCTTAACTCTCTCTCATCATCATTAAGCCTTATAATAAAAAAATTACTTTCTCCAGTGCACAACTTTGATTTTAGAAAATAGAATTATGAAAAGGATGCTTATTGATGACTCTAGTAGATAACTTTTCTCCCCATTAGTTTGTAAGTTTCTCAAAAGAAATCTTATTCAGCACTTTCCCAGTGGCAGGTGTATGTGATCATGTACTAGAAACTCAGAGAATTCTGTTGAAGTTTCATAAGCATCCTTACTATCATCTGGACCTGAACCTAGAATTGAAGATAGTGACTATAGTAAGATATGATACACTAGGGAATGATGGATCTAATTATAAAGGTAAAGCCTCAGCAGAGTAGGACTAATGCCTACCTCATAGATGGTTCCAAGGATTTAACATGAGTATAAAGCATTAGTATTTAGCTTGGAACATTGTACATGTTCAGTAAATGGATACATTGAGACTACTATCTTTGTTAGATTTAAGTGTTTATTCAGCCTCATTTGGGATGATGGTAATGGAAGTAGGTACTTTTTTTTTTGAGGTATTAATACTAGACTTCATCAAGTCTGTTTCCCTAACCTAGGTGGTTAGCTTGATACCTTCTAGGGGTGGATTCGTGAGTATGTATAGGGGAAAACATGAGTAATCCTGGCCCTTGGACTTCTTGTTTTGCAACTTACTAAAAATTGTGTCTGGCTCAGCCTGATTTTAAAATAAGCCTTTTCTTTTTCTTTCAGATTTCCATAAGACGGCACCGTATGTGGTTACTGGCAGTGTAGATCAAACAGTAAAGGTGTGGGAGTGCCGTTGATTGAGTCTCATTTGGCCCCTCCTCCCTTTTTTCCTCTGGATGCACTCTGATGATACCATGGTTACCCTATTGAGCTCTGTTTAAATAAATATTGTCCTTTCATGTAAATTATTCTGGATGTAGATTGAGCTTATTAAATGTTACACACAAAGTATTCATGCATGGTGAATCCAAATTGTATACTGTAAATTTACATGCGTTGTCTAGAAGTACCATAGGGTTTAAAAACCTGGGCCGGCATTGGTCACACCAGGCCTAAGAAGGCAGAAATCGAATAAATTGAACTAGGGCACTAAACTGAATAATTGACAGTGTCATTTTATGTTGGATTATTAATTCCTGTTTTTCTTTCTGCTCTCTGTTGGTGCCTGATTTGATGGCCTCTTTTGGGGGAAAGTGGTGGTTATTAGGGCTCTTTTCTGAAATGTGTATCTATGTAACATCACTTAAGTGTGCTTAATAAATCTTCAAGGATGTTAGATAATAAGGCTACAATTCAAACTCTTTTGAACCATCTATGTAATTATTGAGGATTACACATTGGAATTTTTGTCATGACACATTTGCCAAATCAATAGGATACATTTGTTTTGGCAGCCTAGGCTAGTGGTATATTTATGTAAGAAAATGACTGTAAATCTCAAGAAAAATCTCAGTGGCTAATAGCAAATCTTTTATTTCATTTGGGTCTTAATGCTTTGTAAGGTTGGGGGGAAAAACACTGTAATACTGTAAGCTTCTATTTTCCACACTAGACACACTTATAGTTGTATTCTTCATACTGTTAGACTGCATAGTGAGGTGACTTCCAAGTTACAAGTAGAATTTAATCTTCCCATTGAGTGTGTCATGACACAAGTCACTATTGGGTTTTGATGTTTTTTAGAGATGTGCAATGTGCATTACATAATGACAGAGAAATACTGAAAAGCTATGTATGCTCATTTTAAGGGAGTGGGAGAAATACAGCAGTTTGTTTTTCTACATGAATCTGGTACCAGTTTGAACTGTTTAACTTACAAGTTATAAAAAGACAGGGTTTAATGAAGCATGCATAAAAATGTACTGTTTTTCACCTTTTGTTTATATATAAATGTTTATAAGTATATGGACCTATCTGTTAAGTGGATAAGTCTGTATATGTATATCACACACATACAACCTCCATGTCCTTGGGTCCTGGGTTTTAGAGGAAGTAATAAAACATACAAATAGAATAAATCTTGCTATGGAATACCATGCTTTAGAATAAACCCTTTTTGATCCTAATGCTTTTGAAAACTAGTTCTGAGCTGTGGGAATTTTTCCCACTTAAAGGGAAATCATATCTATTATCTGTCCCTACCCCCAATCTGGCTATTCAGCATTGTACACACCCTGGATATATTGTATATTGTGATCCAAAGTTACTACAAGTAAATTTAAGAGAATATTTGTCTATGACTTTGGAAACAATATTCCATTACATATTATTAATAAATAATTCCATTGCTTAGCTAACCAACAGTTGTTTTTTTTTTTTTTTTTTTTGTTTTGTTTTTTGGGGGGATTTTTTTTTTAGGTGATTTGAAAAGTTAACAAATGAAATAACAAAGACAATTTAACAAAGAAATTTATTCTGAATTTCATTTTATTCATTTGTATAAAATGTGGTTTTTAAAATGTTCCTTTTAGTATTTAATGGAAATCTGGTTTCTGAAAAAGACAAAGGGTTAGAGTTAATGTCCTGTAGCTGCACAGAGAGTAGACCGTGTATTTACTAGAAGCAGCTTTATGTCTAGCCTGTGTCTTTTGTTTGTTTGTTTTTAATTCCTGAGAAACGTCTCTGGAAGGAAAGGTGTTTTGAGAACTGATGGCTATTTTTGAGGACAAAATTATACCTTAAGCTAATTGCTTAAATACAGTAGAATAACTTTCAGGACAATACTGCCTCACAACCCTGCTCACCTTGAGAAGCCTTTTTTGTTTCCTCTTAGCTGTTCTGACTGGATTTTTCTACAAAAGCTACGGAAAATATCTTTGTTCTTGTTTGCTGCTATTTCCTGTACTGTTTTAAGAAATATACATAGACATGGTGCATCTTAACATTCGTTTGTACATGTATAAATGTCTTGTATTTTAATTCATTTTTAGCATGTAGCAACACAAATTGTTTAAGGGTAAGCCACAACATCTAGAAATCACTCATAGATATGAACAACAAAGGAAAAAATGGTACCAATTTAGGGGGAAACAAAGCTGCTGTCCGCTGGGGTTTTTACCCGCAGCATACAGTGACTTTTGTTGACAAAGAAGGAGAAAAATTATTACTCTGTAAACACAGTTATCCTTACTTGGGAGATTGCCACAGCCTGCTGCTTAGTTGAGTTACCAGACACCCTCCATTTAAGAAGCAGCGAACATTGAATCTCAGGGATGGTCCTCAACTGGATCCAAATGTAAGGAGCCCTGTTTGAATAATGAAGGTGGGGAGTGGTCCATCCACAGTCCAAAATCAGATTTTCAGAGGTTTCCTGCACTGTTGTTTGAAATTGCCCTGTTGATGCCCTTTCTTCCTATTTCCTCTGTTTTCTCTGTCTGCTGTCTGACCCTGTGCCTTGCCTGGGATAAGTACAATGATGAGGTTACTGGTTTGGATTGTAAGTAGAGGAAATTGTTAATTGGTTTAGAGGTTCACTGCTGCTTTGTCACTTTCTCAATCAAATTGGCCATTTACTTAAGAAATAAAAAGCTGGTAGAATTGCATCCTCAGATGATTATTGACTTTGTGTGTGTGTGAAAAGACATTCCAGTGCCACCCTAATACAATGTGCCCAAGAAGTCCTAGCTGCACTCTTGAAAGTGCAAGCCACGGAAACTGTGGTTTAGACATCGCTTGGAGAATAGTTGCTTTTTAACATGGCATCTTGCACTTTAGGAGACCAAGACCGTCCAGTTTTGTCCATGTGTGGTGTGACCAATGGTGTGCCCAGAGCACTGCTCTGAAGTCACTAGTGTTAGCAAGTCGTCTGGGCTGTGGGGCTCGCTGTAGTCTTTGGAAGCTTTGGCTCTAGATCACCAAGCCCAGTCTCCTTTCTGTCAGTGCCCTGCTCTCCTGTTCGCCTTTTTCTGTTTCTGTGTGAACTTCCAGGTAATATCACTCATTAAATAGTTTTTTGTAAATTTATTTAAAGAAAAACTATTTAAAAGTAAAGGATATTTTGTTTTGTTGACAGTGGTGGCTTGATAATCCTTAAACAACTGACGTTAAAATTGTTGGATTGAAGGACAAGGCACTTAAAATGGTTACTCTTTCTGTCCAGCTGTATATAAGTCCAATGTGTTAATCTAGATGATGCAAAGAAGAATCTCCTGGTAGAGAAGCGACATGTACAAAATTGGTGGAAAAGGTTTTTGGTTTTTTGGGTTTTTTTTTCCAGTGGGGTGGGGGGAGGGCAAGCTGGATTTACAAGTCACGACTGGACTGAACTGGCCTTTTTATCTTTCCACTATATCATGTAAGTAGCTGCTTTCTTGTCCTGCCTACCCTTCGGGCATCCCTAAAGCTCACTCGAAGATGACAGAAACACAAACTTCCGAGTTAGATGATTCTGACACTGACATGAAGGCAAGCATTGATTTCATATGAACATTGCAGAGGTGGTGATTGGAGGAAACAGTTCCCCAGATTGTAAGAGCTAACTGAGGATATTGACACAATTTAAAAAAAATCAGTAAAGGAATGTATATAATATTGCTCTTGTGTTTTACAGTAAGATTTGTTGCTCAGACTGTGTAAAACAAAATTTATTCATGTTTTCTGCATATTAAAAATCTTATTGTACCAATTGGTAAACTATTAAATGCCTATAAAACTAGATGTGATTTTTGTCTCCTTGTGCACAGGTTTAAAACCTTTGAGTCCTAATAGGAAATGAAACTGTTAAGCAGCAGTCTTGGAGTAAGATGCAAATTAGCAGCAGGGCCTTGTTTTTCCTTAAGGGCAGTGTCAGCACTGCCCTTGCTGTCTGCTTCCTTCCCTCCCTCGGGAGCTGCAGACTATTTTCCAAGGACCCTCCTTACCCTCCAGCAGCACTTTCTGACAGTGTCTCTACAGCCGAGGCCAGAGCTGAAGCCAGGGATGACTTACTACAGCTCCTATTTTAAAAGACTTGGCTCACTCGTGGTGGTCAGGGCCCAGGGTAGGGGTTTTGTTTTAAATTTTGGTTGAAATGTGCCAGTGTGTTAACCCTTGCCCCAGAAACACACAGCTTTCTCTGTGCTTTAAATGTGTTAGATGTCCTACTTTGCATTTCCCCAAGTACTGCTCAGCTATCGTCCAAAGTGCCTTTAGGGCACCCTAGAAGTCTACAGCCAAATATTTTCATGCATAAAGGACATGTTGAATGATGAGGTGGCTCTCACAAACCGGTTCTGCCTCTTACTGGGAATAGCCTCTCCCCCGCAAATGGGAAGCTGGGTCAAGAGCAGCGAAGTAATTTGTTTGAGGTTAGTTTCTTGCGTTTTGCAGCTTTTCTGCTTTCTTGCAGGGCTTCTTTCCCCTAGACTGAAATCCAGATGTGGAGTTCTTGCCATATGATCATTATCCTGAAATGACTGAGCTGTTCAAAACCTGTGGAGTAACTCACTGGTATTTCACACACATCAAGCTTCCTTCCGAGATTCATGGGCCTGTCCCCGATGGTGAATGAGGAGTGGAAATGTGAAACACTTGGGGAAATGGTGTTGCAACCTTGTACATACACCATGTGACAGCTCTGTCCTTGTCTAGTCTTATGTAAAACTTGACTCATAGAGATAATGCCCAACTGCTGGTGTGCCAGAACACACTAACAAAATTAGTGTGCTCCTCAGGCCAGCAGTATCAACATCACCTGGGAACTTGTTAGAAATGCAAGTAGGTCTCCATCTCAGACCTATTGTATCCAAGTAAATCTATTTTCACAAGCCACCCAGGCAATGCTGATGCAGGCTCAAGTTTGAGAGCCACTTGTTTAAATCATTTAGCTAACTTCTTACTGAAGAAGAGATTTGGACCAAAGTCACTGGTACCTAGGATTTAAACTCACATCTCCCTCCTTTTTCACCATCACTTTGACACGTGGAGTTTTTTCCTTTGTGAATATTTAGCTGGTCTTCATTCCCACTTAGTCACCAATGCTCTTTAAAGTGGAGGTGGAGGGAAATTACTTGGTATTTGAATGTCAGACGCCAACTCACTCTGTTCTCAACGTACGTCCTTATTCTCACATACTTTCTGCTGGCAGATGTTAGCTGTCTCCTACGGACTAGAAAATGGGCTGGCTTGTGAATTCATGCACCAAGGGCTTATTAGAGTGAGCCTGGGATGAACGCAAACACAGTTGCTCTTTGCCTTACCTGATTCTGCCTGTATAAAACTTACTAGCTATTTTAAGGGTTAGAAGGACCTGACATCTTTTGAGCAATTTTTAAACTTAGTAATGCAGGAATGGCCCTCCCATCCCTGAGCACCTCTCACATTACACACCACCTCGGGATGGCCATCAAGAATGGGATGGAGGCTGGGCATGAATAAGCAAGAATTAGGTCACCCACACGTGCAGTTTACAAAGGCTCCTCAATCATTCTACATGAGATGATTTTATCCCCAGGTTTATTTTGTCTTGAGTGGTCTGCACCTCTTTTAATCAATAGACTTGCCAACTTAATTGGGGATATTTCACTTTCAGTTGAGGACCACCTGCCTTCTGTAGGTGTCCTGATGGTGCATGCCTTATTTGATTTGGTAATTTAGACTGTTAGGGGCAAGGAAACACCTTATTCTCAGCTGCAGGATATGTAAGAATTCCTCAGTGTAGTCTAACAGTTCTCAATACTCATATTTAACAATGACAGTTGGAGGAGCAGGAGTGCAGACAGATGATACCTTAAAAGTTTAATTTGGTTATAATCTTTAAAAATATTTTCAAGTTATAAAAGTAATATGTATATAAAAAATCCAAACAAGAAAAGTCCATTTAGAGTGGAAAGTGAATAGGACTCGGGGGACGTGAAGAGGTGTGGTTGGTCGAGTGTGTGTGGTTCACACCCCTTGGACTAAATTTCAGTCCATACAGACCGTGACCTACCGCTTCCCACTTCTCACAGCAACCCAACCTGTGGATGCCACCACTCACCTTTTTTCTTTTTCAAATTACAACAAAGTTTATTTAGAAAGTTACAGAGGTAGTGGAATTGAGCCAGCTGGGCTGCGCAGGCTCAGGAAACAAGTTACGCAAGCAGAAGAAGGGCCCTTGGAGCTTAGGGGAGGCAATGGCATCAGAAAGGCGAGGGCATGCCCCCGGGAGGGGGAGCACCTGCACTCACTGGTTTTTAAAAATTGAAATCTGTCAACTAAGAAAAGGGAAAGACAAAGGGTTCGTTTTACACCTAGAGCCTTGTTTCCTTGGTAAAACAGCCCCTTGTCATGTGGGTTGTCAAGGTATCTGATACCACTAATATGCTTAAGGGATCAACCATGAAAAACAGGCCTTCCCAGTACAATAGCAATTAAACCTGAACCATTCTCAACTTCCATCAGCTTTACAAGGTGATGCCCCCAAACTGCTGTGAAGCACGTGACCAATGTTCACAGGATCAAGTCCATAGGAGGGCATGTTCAGAACAACCAGGAGACTGCAGAGGAAACTGGTAGAGGGTGGGGGTGACAGGGAGCATGTGTCAAGGTACCCAGGTCAGTTCTTTGGCAACAGTTGGAAGAAAACCTCAAGGCCAAGGATGTAAAACACATTAGGGTTGGAATTTTTACAGAATGTCAAAGACACAAAGAACTAACTCCAAGTACGCCAAAGAGCATTCAAGCACACCTGAGTCTAAGGGCTAGAATGCTCCAGCAGCAGCCACTAGGCTCCTCCCCGCCCCTCACGTCCACCTCACAGGCCCCACTCCAGCCAGCCCAGGTGGGCTCTCCTCTCCCATCTCTCTGGATTGCCAGGAGTCTTGATACACTACCTCAGTATAGCACGTCAGACAGCCTCCTATGCTAGCATTCCTGGCCTTCCAGGAGTGCTACTCAAGCAAAGGGACAAGGACAGACGCCCAGAGTTCAGTGATCAGTGACCCATCAGAGCTAGCACGCCCAGGGCCTGGGCCCTCACCTTGCAGCACTGTTCACTCCAGCCTGTGCACACAAAGCCCCACACGGGGGCAATCCTCAGCCTTCCTTTGCCTGCAACAACAGGTGAAGTTCATCTACGCACCACTGCCATGGGTCTAGTGACTGGCAGCCAGGTGAACCCCAGCCAGGTGTCTATGACCCCGCTCTTCCTCCCATATAAATGACATTAAAACAATAACCTTGAATTTGACTTAATTCATATACATCCACATGCATTAACCTTTCACTAATAACATTTCTGACAACGGCCCTCACAATCAAGACAGACCGGCACAGAACACACAGGAGAGGCTGGGGCAGTAGGTTTCAAAAACGCACTTTATTCCAATGTGAAATGAAGACGTGGTGGTTTAAAAACAAGAAAAAGTTCTCGATCAGCTGTGGGGATGCCTCGATTGCTAGCTCACGCCCACTCCCTTTGAAACAAGGTGTTTGGACAGACCATACCCATAAGCAGCTACCCCCAGGCAGAGGCCTCCCCTCTGAACAGCTCCCTCAAGCTCACAAGGGGGGCACTCCCGGCCCCCCGAGGGCTCCAACAGCAGGCACAGAAGCAGCACAGGCAGGCGGGAGAGGGAGCAGCCGGGGCCTGTGGGGGCCACCACCTTCCATGCTGTCCCCACCTGCCACACCCAGAGGTACTCTCTGTTGAAGGTGCTTGTGTGGCAAGAACGAGGTAGGGAGCTGGGCTCCACAAATGACAATCACTCCTGTACCTGGTAACTTACCCCCAGAATCCATGATTCAGGCCTGGTTCCCCCAGGCCCTTGCCCTACCCACTCCCCCACTGTGCGTTAGGCAGCTCAGGTTAAAATGGTGAGAAGGATACATTCAGACCACAGCCCCCAAGGTATCCCCGGCTAAGGAGCAGGGAGCAGGAGGCAGACAGGTGCAGTTTGGGCACAGGGGCCCCCCCACCCCAAGCACAGCCAGGCCAGACCCAACCACAACTAACAAAGCCACTGCAGCTCTCATCTTGCCACAGAGCTAAAGTGCACCCCAGCTCTTCAGCCCTGCAACAGGGCTGACTCCCCATCCCAGGACATAGGAAAGCTCCCCCTTTTTTTTGGCTTTAAACCTGGGCTGCAAGCCAGGTTGGGCCCAGGGGTAGTGGCAGCAGAAGCAGCAGCCATAATGTCAAACATACAAATGACCTGAGAAATTGCATCTGCACGTCACCCACTCGGACCTGACTCGGGCTATGTACAGGTTAGGAAGGACGGATCAAGACGCTAACGGGCATGGACACACTCACACACACCTGCTTGAGGATGGGGGCGCCTGAGGGGCACCTGCCCCCCAGCTGGGAACTGATGCCCACACACTCCATTCATGTGTCTTCAATTAGGCCTCTGTATCAATATATTCATTGAACCAGTGCAAAAACATCTCTCGGGGGGGCGGGCAGGCAGGCCAGGCCGGGGTCCCAGGAGGATGCTGGGGGTGGGGTTGGGGTTGGAAATGCGGAAGAAGAGGGACTTGCTTCCTCTCCCGATCTGCAGGGCGCGCCCCCCTCTCCTGGAGTCTGGATCATTGGGTAACAGGGCAACTGACTGACTGTCCATTTCTCTCTCTCTACCCCTGCAAGCTTGGGGAAGGAGGGTCCTTGGCCCCCTGGGGCTGGGAGGCTGCATCCTCTGAGGCCCCCGCTGGGTCAGGCTCGGTGGCCATGGGCTCTTCAGCCTTATCCCTGTTTTTGCTGGCTTCCTGGAGCTGGTGCCGCCGCGCCACCTCGGCTTTCAGATTCTCCAAGTCTTTTTGGCTGAGTAGAAGGATGGGGGTTGGTGTCAGAGCAGGCCTGGGCCCACTGTCACCTCACTGGCTTTGCTTAAACTTAAACACGGGACCAGACCAGGCTTTGTGCTTTGGTGAGATACATGCATGGAACAAGCGCTTTCTTCCCGGCTGAGAGCAGAAAGGCCCCTAACTGCTAGAGAAGTAAGAACTCCAAGCACTCGCCAGAGGCCTCAGTTAAGGCCCGGCCCCCCCTCAGCCTTTACACCCAGTCCAAACCTGCCGCCTCCTGTGCTGGTTCCCACAGATCACGCACAGAAAACGAGAGCTGAGAGGGTGGTCAGCACACGAAAGGGCCCCCATGAACTCCCTAACCGCTGGCTGACCAAACCTGTGTCCCACCCCGTGGGAGGGAGACAAGACTGGGGCGCTCATGAAGGCAACATTATTTCTAAGGGCCACACCAGAGCTCTGGGGGTTGGTTGCAAGTCACAGACCTACACTGGGATAGCAGGAAGTCAGAGAAAGAAGGAAGCCACTTTTCACATACTGATTTGGAAAAAGCGCCAAAATATATTAAGTGAAGGAAAAAACACCAATACCTATGCATGTTTGCTATAATTTTGTGTGTAAAAAAAAAAGGTAAAAAGAAAGATTATAGCCCTGGCTGGTGTGGCTCAGTGGACTGAGCACCGGCCTGCGAACCAAAGGGTCACTGGTTCGATTCCTAGTCAGGGCACATGCCTGGGTTGCAGGCCAGGTCCCCAGGAGGGGATCCGTGAAAGGCAACCACGCATTGATGTTTCTCTCCCAATCTTTAAGAAAAAAAAAAATTAGTTATTTATTCAATTATGCAGAGTATTTCCATAAGGATTCATCAGAAACGTCTCACCTGCGGCTATATTTCCCAGTTTTGAGCCATGTTAATATATTAAATGTTTTAAAAAACAAAAAACTAAGGGCCAACTTCCAACTGGGAGTGGGGGACAGGTGGAGGAGGGGCCTCACCTGAGCGGAATGAAGAGAATGCCGTTGATGACATTGAGCTGTTCCAAGACACTGGCCATGCTGGGGGCTGTGAACTGAGGGGTGGCAGGGAAGATGAGTCATAGTGTAGGGTCTGGGAGGTTAGGGTGGGGGCCCCCAGCTCCATCCCAGGCATACCTTAAGGGGTGGGATGTTGGCGCTGGGGCCGTTGCGGTAGATCTCGTTCATGGTGCGCTGCAGGGCCACAGCCTGCTGGGTCAGGCACTTGAGGTACTCGGAGCTCTCCTTGGTCTTCTCATGGTCCTCGCCCAGCTGCGGGGGGGGAGAGTGCGGCACAGGCAAGAAGGGATCAGGGCTGCCCAAGCACCAGGCCCAGGTGCAGCCCCCAGTCCCTGCCGAGGCTCACCTGGGTCTTGTAGATGGTGTAGCCTTCTTTCTCGTGCTGTAGGGCTGACCGGAACTCGGCTTTGCTCTCGTAGACCCGGGCGACAAGGTGATGGCTACAGGAAGTGTGGTGCAGGGGCAAAAGAAGGACATGAATAGGCCGGGGTAGTGGGGGCCTGATGGGGTGGGTATGCAGATCAATCTAGACCCTGCTCTAGAATCTACCCGAGGTACAACAAGCCCAGGACTCAGAGAAGGAATGGAAGGTGACAGAAATTTCCTCAGGAGTCAGACCAAAGACAGAGCACTGGGTCCCGTGCTCAATCCAAGTGCTTCCTGGGACCCTGTCCCTGTGGCCCTGGGTATTTGGGCCTAGGCCCCCCAGCCCCCTAGCCCAATGCAGCCTCACCTGAGGGCCACTTTGAGGGACTTGGGCCCGTGGTACTTGGTGCTGACAGCCAGCGCATTCTCCAGGAAGCGCAGCGAGAGGTCATACTCCATCACCCCATGCAGCACCAGCCCGATGTTGTTCTGGGGGCAGTCGGGAGGGCCCTGGTCAGCTCCCGCGCCCCTGGGGCTGAGGCTCGCCCCGCCACCCCTCCTCAGCACTCACGTCCAACAGTGCCATCTCAGGGTGGTCTTCCCCGAACACGAGCAGCATGAGGTAGCGAGCACGGTACAGCAGGCTCAGGGCGGTGGACAGCTGGCTGCTGGCAAAGCAGTACAGGGCCAGGTGCATCTGCAGGGGCAGCTGTGTCAGGCCAGGGCGGCCACGGGCCCACCCAGCTGTGCAGCCCCCACCCCAACAGCCACTCACATATTCCTGGATGGTGTTGGGGTGCTCGATGCCCATCACTCGCTCGCTCATCAGCACAGCCTTCTGCTGGTTACTGAGGGCCTGGAGAGGAGGGGGACTGTCATCCTGGGGTGGGTGCCTCCCTGCACCCCGCCTACCTGACTCTGGACCCTCCAGTCCCCACAGTAGCTTGGCCTCCGTCCCCTCTGGCTGCACCTCCTGTTTTTGCTATACACAAAGGCAGCAGAGAAGGGGTTCAGCAGAGTTCAGCTGTGTGTGCGCCCCACTGTGAGACTATTCTACCTTTTAAAACTGTGTCTGAAACCTTGTTTCCTCCAAACAAAATGATGTAAATACATGCATACAAATATAAAGCTAAAATTTAAAAAATGAAAACAAAAGAAACCCATACACAGACAAAAGACTCTGTGACTGCAGGTGACTGGGGAGCCTACTGCAGGCCTGAAACATGCAGCAGCCCCTGGAGCCCTGGGCCGACCAGCAGGCGGCAGACTGGCCAAGGACAACAGCAGGGGCGCCCCAAGCGGCTTCATGGAGCATCTCTGAGGTACGGGACACGGTGAGTCTCAGAACTTATCCCCCCCAGCGGCCCCGTGAAGGGAGGCCCAGCCTTCACCCCACTCCACAGGAGTCCCCCAGGACGTCACTACGTAGTGGTGGAGATGGGGGAGGCCCAGGAAGAACAAGGGACTCCTTGGACCCCTGGTCTCTGCCTGCTCCTCCATGTGCCCCCTGCCCCCCCTAACCCTGGGAAGCAGCCTCTCCAGCCCCTTGGAGACAGAGGCCCCGCTAGGAAGTGAGCCACAGGGGGTGAGAACGCAGCCCTGGCTCCCTCACTTGCCAGATCCCAATGCCAGGCCAGGCCCAAGACCTCTGCTGACACAGCCCCACGGGTGCTCAAGGCCCACCTCGGCATAGTCACCCATGATGTAGTGGAGACGGGCCAGGAGGCGCAGGCAGGCGCAGATCTCCACGTGCATGGCTCCGTACACGTTGTTGAACAGGTTCAGGGCCTCGTTGATGAGCTCGCAGCCCTCCTTCAGGAAGCCTGCAGGGCACCCCCAAGGGTGGCAAGGTCAGGGCCAGGCCAGGGAATCCCCCTCCCCCTGGTCACACCTGGCCACGCACCCTGCTGTACTTTGGCCTGTCCGCTCTGGAAAAAGTGGAAGGCGTCCGAGGCCTTGGGGTTGACGTGCTTGACCACGGGGAAGATGTTGAGCACGTCCTCCTCAGTGAAGGCGGGTTTGTGGCGGCTGTCGAAGCTGTACTCCTTTAGCAGGACCTGGGGGACACAGCCAACACCCACATACCCACAGGCTGCCTCAGACCCAGGCTCCAATGGCCAGAACCTCCCGACCTGCCACCACGTATGGAGAGACAGCGCCCAATACCAGCCCCGTGGACCTTATGGGAGCCTGGGCACAGGAGGTACAGGCCACCCCGTGCCTACCTGAATCCCGGTTTTGAGGGAGATCTCCCGCAGCAGCGTGATCTTCTGCAGGCCATACATCTCCACAGCCTGGTCCACAGACTCACTGGGGAGAGGTAGCAGGTGGGCCTCAGCGGCCCCCCTCCCATCTCTCCCTCTTCTCAACAGCTGCCCCTCCACCTGAGCAGGGTCCAGGTGCCCTCTGGGCTACCTGCACACTCTAGCCAGCACCTAACAGCCCTCATCCCCCCCTCCCCCTGTGAGCTCCACCACAGGTTCCCCCATCCCCTGCTCCTGCCTGCCCCATGGGCTGTTGGAGGTCCCCAGTGCCTGCCATGCCCCTCACATACCACTCAAGGCTGAAGTCAAAGTAGTTCTTGGCCTCCTGACAGATGTTCTTCCACAGCTCCTGGGGGGTCATGACAGCCCAGGCAGTGTTATCTGCTGCCCCTGGAGGCCGGTTTCTCCTCCTCCTGTTCCTCTTCTTAGAGATCAGCTCATCGGCAGGCAGGTGGGCCACAGGGTTGGGGTAGGAGCTCAGGAAGCAGTTCAGGAAGTGACTGATGGCAGCTGAGAGCCCCGAGAGCTCAACTCCCTGTGAGGGAGGTTTGGACCCAAGTCATGAGGGCCCCTGGGCCCCGACCCAGGGCTCTGCCCCGGGCCCCCACACTACCCCTTGGGGGAGGAGACAGTGCTACCTGCAAGTACGTCTTGAAGATGTGCTTAGCAGAGCGGGTGATGAGCTCTCCGATGCCAATTTTCTACAATGATTGAAAGAGGGAAGTCGTGGTGAGCCCAGGCCGAGCCCAGGCCCCACCGTCCACAGCCCACCTTGAGCACCACTCACGTAGATGTGGTCCAGCTGGTCTCGCGCCGGGCTCCGAAGCACCAGGTCCAGCACCTTGCCCAGGTAGCGCATGTTGATGCCACGCTGGCGCATCACCTCAGACAGTGTGGCCCCGTCCATGGGCAGCACCACGTGGTCCGTGCAGTCCTTCACCTGCAGGCTGCAGCAGATCAGGGCCCCACCCAGGCCCTCTGCCTCCTCTTACCCTGGGTCTCCCTTGGGGAGCTCACACTACCATGAGGTCCACCCAAGGGGAAGCGGGGGATGAAGACCCCAGCTCCCAGTCAGGAAGAGAGAAGGAGACAAAGCAGCAGCAAGGACATGACAATTGTCTCCCAACCTTCCACACAAGCTAAGGAAACTGGGGGACTGCCAGGTGCACTTGACGGGGAAGCAGGGACGAGGGCACCCCATAGGCGATGAACCAAGAGAGACCAACAAGCAGCACAGGCTGCCCTCGGACCAGGAGGGAAGGAGCAGAGCTGACTGCCCCTTGGGCGGCCTGGCGGCCAGCATGGCAGGCTCGGCTCCAAGGGCGGAGACAAGTGTACCACCTGATCATGGAGCTACCTTAGTAGGGAGCAAGCACCTCGGCACTCACAAGGTTTACATATAAAGCTTGTGAGGGTGCAGAGGACAGAACCTCTCCCCATTCCTCTCAGATGCCCCCCTGCACCTCTCTCACACGGGCTCAGAGGACCAGCGCCCAGCCGCCAGCCCACATGGAGGGCACAAGAGAGCAGAGCCTATATCTGCAGCCTTCCTTGGTCTCTCCAGGTCAGTGGTTCCTCTGTACAACCAGGAAAAGTATCCTGCCCCACCCGCCTTGCAAGTCAGCAGGTCTAAGGAAGTCACTCCTGTGAAGGTCCCACAAGCCTCCAAGGTTGAGCCTATACCAGTGCCCTCTGTGCAGCCCCCTTGCTGCAACCCCGCCCCTGTGGCCCTGTCCTCACCAAGCCAGGGATTTGGCAGGAGAGCAGGAAGGCAGCGGCATCTTTCAGCAGCTGCTTCTGGTCCCGCACTTCCTCCTGGCAGGACTCAGGAAAGCGAACGCCTGTGGGAGGGAGAGTAGAGGCTTGAGCCAGGTGAAGGGAGGTGGAGACAGCAAGACAGACGGCATTGCTCAGGTGGGGGACCAGGCCCACCAGCATCGAGGATCCCACAGTGCTCTGCCCGCCCTCCTCCACCACCTGCCTGGTGAGAAGATGTCAGGGTTGAAGCGAACATCAAAAGCCGTACTGCTGATGGAGCCCACTGCCTTGCATGCATTGCGAATCACCTCCCGGCTCCGTGGGTCTGCTGTGGAGATAGGACCCGCTGGGAGGCAGCCCATTCCACCACTGGTGGGCCCACTGTCCGAAGCCTCCCTCAAGCTCCTTGCCAAGATTTCTGTCTGCCTCTTTTTGACTGGGTCTTGAGCCACCAGTGGCAACCACCAGCTGCCAAGACAGACAGGCCTAGGGCTCCCCCAGCACCCACAACAGCCGCACCTGTCCCGTCATCTGAGGCGATGGTCTCTGCCAGCTCCTTCACCTTGGCCAGGCCACTGGCACTGCTGCCCTCCTCTTCACTTCCTGCCTCGGGTCCCAGAGGGTCTTCAGACTTGGACTCCAAAGAGAGTGGACTGCCGTTTTCCAGTGAGGTGGGGGTTTCCACCTTGCTGGCTTTCTGCTGCATCAGCTGCAGGGCGGCCAACTTCATGAAGAGGAGATACCTAGAGTGCAGTAGACAGGACAGAGACAGGGACAAGAAAGGGCTGGCAGCAGCCTCGCTGGCCTTCCTGCTGGCTACAGGGCCCAGAGCCCAGCCCTAGGCTCCTGACTGGCTGGGGTTAACAAACGTTGGGGCTGGACACCCTGACAGCACAGGCCACATCCTGCCCCATATGCAAGCATCAGCGCCTATGTGCATGTGCCAGCTCAGCACCTCTACCAGGGGCAGCAGGTCCCAGCAAAAAGCAAGATCTCAGATGGGAAGAGGACAACTGGGGTGAGGTGTGGGTCAGGGAGTGGCTCACCAAGCAGGCCAGGGCTCTCAAAATTGACAGGAACCCAATGGTATGGTGAGAGGGAAAACTATTCATGGGGTGGGACATTTGATGTACCTGATCCTTAAGCACTAAATGCCAACTGCCTCGACGCCCCCTGTTCCCTCTCCCAGTCCCCGGCACCAGGACCTTCAAAAACACCCTCACAGATTTCCACACGCTCCATAGGGGGGCAGCATCACTTCAGCTGAGAGCCACTGGTCTGAGCCCGGTGCAGGCGTGGGCAGGGCCAGAGCTGAGTCTGTAATGCCTGTGGCCAGGGCCAGCTCTTCTCCACTCCCCAAAGCCACTCCCTCAGGATCAGGCCCAGAAGCCTTTTGGCAGGGCCAGTCCGGCCATGCTCCTCACCTGTGCTCCACGAAGGCGTCCACCAACTCCTGGCGCAGGCAGCACAGTTTGTGCCGGTGGTTGCGGGGGAAGCCGGCCCGGGTGCACTCCTCGGGCAGCTGCTCACCAGGCACAGGCAGGAAATTGAGGTCAGGCGGGAAGGTGCGCAGCAGGTCGAGGATGTAGTGGCGCCCGTCGTTGCCGATGATGCCTTTGCACTCCACAGAGGAGCAGAGCTCCACCTCCTCATCACGGTCATTGAGCACCCAGTGCCTCAGGATCTTGAGGGGCCGGCTCGTGCGCTCCAGCAGCTCCAGGTATCGCGGGTGCGACACCACTGTCTTGCCAAAGTCGATGGAGCCATAGATGACACTCTGCTCCTGGTCCCGCTCCAGGATGCCGGGGATGATGGACTGGGCCGTGACACGGTAGCCGCGGTAATCCACCACCACTGTTCCCAGTGTGTACAGCCCCTCCACATCCACTGCATTGTACGTGCGCACACCATTCAGGTCATTGGCAGGTGCCACGTAGGCCGCCACATCCCCGCCGAAGTCCTTGTAGTGGTCGCGGACATCGAAGCCCAGGCTGAAGAAGATGTTGTTCCAGATGAACATCTGCATCTTGGTCTCCTCACTAGGGTTGATAGCCATCACGTTGCCATCGATGACCGCCATGGCGCCCCGTGTGGCCGCTGCAGTGAAGTCACTGTGCACCTGCAGGGGAAGGGCCAAGGCTGGGAGGGCCAGAGAGGCCCCATCTGCGAGCACGCCAGCTTTCCTCCCACGTGGCCCGGCTCGCCCACGTGGCAGAGACAAGCAGGCTACCTTGGGGGCTGAGGGCTCTAGCATCAGTTTCCTTACATTTGGAAAAGGGCAAAAAAAGAAAGCTTTTTTTTTTTTTTTTTTTAACTTATCACTTGGAGGAAAGAGAGCTTAGCTGACTAACAAGTAGTGGAAGGGCTGGAATGGGTGTGGGACCCACCACTTCCGTGCCGGGTGGACCCGGACAAGCCAACCCTTGGACCCGTTTTCTCGTCAGTGGAGTAGCAAAAACAGAGGCGCCGACTCCGACCTTTACAAGGTGCTGAGGGAGCTCAGGGCAGGGCCTGTGAACCCTGCACAGCCCCCCGGCAAAGCCGGCACCAGAGCACGTAGATTCACTCTCACCGTTATCATCTCTGGGCTGTAAGACTTTAAACTTAACTTTTGTTTTTCGAAAGCACTATCTTCCCCTCAGGTCTCTTATCTTAGGAAAAGTACTAACAACATCACAGTTGGGGATTTGTGCCCAGGTGAGGACCTGATGGCAGTCAGTGGAGGGCAGAAAGCTGGAATGGACCTTGTCACCTGCCCACACTGGAGGCAGGTCCCCCTCCTGCCCATGGACCCCAGGCTCCGAGAGGCCAGAAAAAGGAGTCGGGGGCCAGCAGAACACACCGCAGGGCACCCTGTCAGCCTGCCCTGCTTTCTCACCTGTCCACCAGAAAACCAGCAATGGTGGCAGGTGGGTCTGAGGCTGCCAGTCAGGCACCAGGGGACAGGGGTACCTTAAATATGGCTCTTTCTCGAAGCAGCCGCTCCGGCAGGTTCTTGCGGGGCAGTTCCCTCGTGGTCTGCAGCTCCTCATTCCAGTCCCGGGTCTGCAAAGGGACCAGGGAGGGAGACACTGGCTCAGCCCATGCCCCACAACCTGCTCTGGGCAGCCCCGTCCTCCTCTTCCCCACAGAGTGCCCCATAGGCTCTCGAGTGAAAAAGACAGATGAGCAGATGGAGCTTCCAGGGACACACACAGAAACCGACCTGGAACCCACCAGGGGAGAAGAAGGGAGATGACCAGAGAGGACAAAGCCAGGCTGCAAGCACCTGTCCAGGAATGTGCTCCTCGTAGCCCAGCCTGGAGGTATAGGCATCCTCGGCACGCACACAGTCCATGGCATGCTCTGCCTGGGGGGCCGTCCAACTGTACACCTGGAATGGGGTGGCAATCCTCTCGAACGGGTGGCGCTGGACCCTATGACAAGCAAAGGAGGGGAGATGGGGCAGCCCGCCCAGCTCAGAACCCTGCCCTGGGCCCTTCTTCTCTGAGCTCCCCCAACCAGCTCCAGTGTCTCCCTGCCTTGAGACCTGCTGCTGGTGGGTCCCACAAAGCGTGAGGGCAGCTCTCCTAGAACTGCTATCTCGGGGCCTGGCTGACAGCTAGTTCCCTGAGGGAGGCTCTGGGGTGTTGGGCACAGATTCTTAGGGCAGAAAAGCTCGAGTTCAGCCCTGGTTGCTGTGGCTCAGTGGAGTGAGCACTGGCCTGCGAACCAAAAGGTCGCCTGTTAGATTCCTGGTCAAAGCACGTGCCTGGGTTGCGGGCCAGGTCCCCAGTTGGGGGTGTGCAAGAGGCAACCAATAGAAGTATATCTCTCAGACATCAATGTTTCCCTCCCTCTCTTTCACCTTCCCTTCTCCTCTTTAAAAATAAATAGATAGAATATTTAAAAAAAAGAAATGCTAGAGTTCAGGCTGGCTGGTTCACCCCATCTCCTGGTGGCACGTGAGACAAGGGGCACAGAGGAGGCAGAGGTGCTACCTTTTCTTCTGCAGTGCAGCGAAGTTTTTTTTGAAAGTCGGGCTGATCTGGTTGAGCAGCTCCACCAGGGAATGGCTGAGGAAGCGGGGGCTGGCGGGCTTGGGGTTGAAGTGGTACGCTGTAGACCTGCAGAGAGGGTGGTTACTGGGAGGGCGCCCCAAGGGGCTGCCCACAGACCTGGAAAGGGCTCACACAAGGACTCACTGGTTCAGGTAAAAGCCCCGCGTGGACGCCGTGATGCTGACTTGCCGGTCCTCGGCTGTGATCACAAACAGGTACATGAGGTCCCCGTGCATCTTGCGGTTCCCAGGGGGCGGGTTCCAGCCACTCATGGTGAGCACTTTCAGGCACTGCAAGGGCTGCAGGAATGGCCCAGCATGAGTGGGTCAGGCCTCCTGTTACAGCGGTTCCAACCCCACTGGAGACCTATTCCCAGCTTTACTCTGGAATCCCACCTTCCAGTCGCGGTTCTGGGGCTGCAGGGGACACAATGGCCGCTCCCGGCTCCCTGGCAGGATGTACTCAGGTGGCGTGCAGTCAATGGGGTCCATCTCCAAGCCCTTCTTCCGCTTCCCGCTGTCTGAGGGACCCGAGGCTGGTGGTCAGCACAGGGCCACCGAGGGGCCCTCCGTTCCCCCAGTAAATTGGCCCCAGGATGCATGCCTCTGGTCCCACCCCCTGCAGACAAGACAGCCAGGCCCTCAGCGCTTTCGCCGGCCCCTGGCTAACTCTCTCCTGGCCCTTCTGCCCAGCCCTGGCCCCAATTTTTCCTTCACCTCCCAGGTCGCCATCGGTAAAGACACTGAGGAAGGACAAGGAGTTGCAGTCCACCCCGTTGAAGGCATCGGACGGGTCCAGGCTCTTGAGCAAGTCTCGGACGTGGCGCACGTGGATTCGGGCCTCGCGTACCGTGTATGGCTCTGGCGGGAGGGAGTTGGCGGCAGAGTGTTGCCAGGGCTCTGCTCCCTGCAACCACCCACCCGGCATAGAGAAGTCTAGCACAGTACTACCACGGGGGTCTGGATTTTTCCATTGTAGGTTTCCATTTACAAATCCCATTATAGACACAAGAGCTGGAGTTCTGGTTCTAACACACACACCTGCCTGTTGGTCAGCAGGGACCTTTGTTCGCAAAGTACCTTTTGCCAAAAGGCACAAGAAATGCCCGTGGAAGTGCACACAGGCCTCAGGAGCTCACACGTCCCTGCTCTGTTCACAAGTGTTGTCACGGGTGAGCAGGCCTGCAGGACTGCACGCTCCAGGCAGCCCGAGGACCTGCCTACCGGACTGGACCGAATGACAACGCTGGCCCCCCAGGGTGTGTTTTGTGAAATGTTAACGAGGGCTCTGGTGGCAGAGGAGAGAGGTTCCACGATCAACCCATTTTGGACAGAGTTAGGTCACATTTTTTCCACATATCCTCTTAATAAGCAGACACATCTGAAACCTTTGAGCCACTTCTCCCCAGGAGACCCAAGTTCACAGGTTTTGCTTTGCAACCAAACCAGCCTTACCACGCCAGCTGATCACTCCACACTGGGCCTGACCTCCCTGCTCAAGGGTTGTGAAAGTTTAACTTCCTTAAGAGATATAGCTTTTTCTCTACAGAATTTCACTGGACTAATGCCAAGCCCTTGCTTGGTATTGTCTGTTTTAATCAACCCTGATATTTAACCCACAAAGGGGAAAGGTGCGCAGGGGACAGCCTGAGAAGCAGAACTGTGCTCCCATGCCGCCTCTACAAGTCTGCCACCACCCGAGCCTCCACGGGCTCATCACTGGCCAGCCGGGGTGGGTGGCGTGCCGCCTGGCCCTGCCTCTCTGTGCCCTCCCTTGGCTGACAGCCCAACTTCAAGACGAACCTTCCACCACGCGTAGTACTGAGCCCTCCTGCAGCCCCTCAACGCTGCGCAGCTCGGAAAAGTGGTCCAGCATGTTGCCATCCAGGTGCAGTGAGAAGCAGGTGCGATGACACGTGTCTTCACGGTCCATGAGCACTTGGTGGATCTCCTGTACCATCTCCTGGGGGGACACCTGCCAGAGAGAAGGCCCCGACCACCCTGGTGAGGACATACTTTCCCCAGCCCAAAGTACGTGGGTCGTTAGAATCGATGCCCCAAGTAATCAGTTTCCCACTTTCTGGCTTTTCAGTTCTAGGCCCTGTCCACACACACAAGCCCATCTGCAGCTGTGTGCACGTGCAAGGTACACACATGTCTGCAGGGCAAAGTCTGGCCCTGTTATCCTCAGGCTTAAACTATGAGCCAGACCTGAGCACAGCAGCAGGAGACATAACAATGGTGGAAAGAAAACAGCAATCTTGCCTTCTCCCTTGCCCAATGTCAAGGTCCCCAGGGCACAAATGGCCTCCCCACTTCAAGAAGGGTTACTCTGGGACCAAGCCTGTGGGTACAGAGGACACAGGAAAGCATTGTCTGGTTCCCCTATGAGTTGCCAGTCTGCATGACCTCTGGGTGAGCTCTCCTCTCCCAATACCACTCTCCTCTCAGGCAAATGGTAGCAACGCAGGCAGAGAGATGTGACTTCTCTGAGTACAGAGCAGAGGGCTGGGAGCCCTGGGACCCCAACACCACCAGCCACTACCATACATCTCCAACAGGGCTGGCAATCCTTGCTGCCAGCTGTCCGATAGCATTGGGACAATGGCTTGAACCTGGATCCCCACACCCACCAGGCTGGCTGAGTGACACTGGGCAAGGTAAAGGTAGGCTTCCAGCCTGTGACGGGAGGGCCAGGGCGAGCAAGGGCAAAGCTTGGCTTTCCACCCTCATCCTCCCAAAGCAGCCTGGCCCCTGGACCCCGCACCTCTCTTCCATCTCACCTGTAGGGAGAAGGGCTCAATCCCTGGGGCCAGGATCTTCACAGAAAAGCCCGTGTCCTGAATGACAATGACTTCCTGTCCAGTGGTCTCCTCTCCCGGCTCCGCCTCATCCAGCCCATTTTCCCGCGGCGGTTCGGTGGGCCCCTCTTCCTTCTTCAGGCGCTCTGGGCAGTCCCCATTCAGCAGCATGACTGTAGGCAGCTCTGTGGGCAACAAGGAAGGGACTCAGTGAGATGGGCCTAGTTGGTCAGGTGGGGCATCCACCTCACCCACCAGGGTGGGCACATGCCCTGTAGGATGGTGCCTGCCTGTTCCCCAGACCCTGCAGTCCAGCCTCAGCCTGGGCACACAGCTTCCACTGCAGGCCACTGCCAGAAGCCTTCCACATCCCGGGCCCGCCCATCCCCCTCGCCCCTCGGTCTACCAGTCTGGCTTTCAGCTGAGCCCGGCGTCCAAACCACTCTCCACAGGGTCACCAAAGCCTCCTTTTTTAAAAATGTTTTAAAAAACCCATGATTTTTTTTCATTGCTTTTAAAGAGATAGGAAAGGAGAGCGAAAAACATAATAAATGCAAGAGAAAAGCATAAATTAGTTGCCTTGTTTATGTGCCTGGACTGGGGATCAAACCCACAACCTGGGTATGTGCCCTGACTGGGAATCAACCCCACAACCCCTGAGTTACAGGACAATGCTCCAACCAACTGAGCCACACCAGCCAGGGCACCAAAGCCACTCTGAGGGCCCAACCCAAGGATCTTCCTTAACATGTCTAGCATCTCAGCAGCATCCCTCCCAGCATCACCAAAGACTCATGTTGTCAGCATGGAATTCACCCCAATCTAGCCACCCAACATAAACTCCACTGGTCATGGGACTGGGGCTCTGTGGCCACGGCTCCGGTACAGGCCACTTACCCTAGTTCAAGAGCACTACTCAGAACCTTTTAATACTCCCCACTGCTCACAAGGTCCAAGCTTCTTAGGCCAACACCCTTCAGCACCAACCTTAAGTCCATCTCAGCTCCTACCAGCTCTCCCTGACAAGGAGTAGTAACACCAACCTACTCCGAAGCCCAAGAACAGGCCACACGTCTTCCTTTCCATCTGTGCTTTTGTTTATTCTGCCCGATATCACATTCCATCCAGAAACTTCTATTCATTCAACAAGACCTAAGCAAAATAAACTCTCCTCTCTAAAGAATTACTGCCTCCCGGTGTCCCCAAAGTCAGGCTCGCCCCCTCGGAGCACCTGTTCTGCCATACTCTGGGTGGCGTTCACAACAGTGCTCTATCTTCCTCCTCCCTTCTCGCCCAGACACAATAGAAAGGCACTAAGTTAATGAATTAATTACTGTAAACATGTCGTTAAGTCCAATATTTGTGAAAAGCACCCAACTCACATGCTGTGGAGAGGCGGGGAAGAGGTGACAAAACCTTCCAACCACACCCAGGCACTCAGGGGGACAAAGGAGAGCCTTGCCACCTGGGGAGAGGGGACTTCCCCGCAGAAGCCCTCCGGCAAAACTCAGGCTGCCTGGATGCTCACTCGGCCCACGGAGCCTTCCCACCCAGCCTGCCTGGCAGCCAGACTGGCCCCTTGCATGCCTGGCAGCTCGGGACAGGTCAGCTCACCCAGCTCTGCTCTGGATTCGGCTCATCCCGTCCTGAACCTACCTCCTCTTCCTCACCCAGCTGTTAGCAGTGGGGCTGGGGTGCACTTCCCCAGAGCTGCATGGGCCCTATGCAGACCCACGGAAACATGGAGCAGGGCCCTTGGGAAAACAGATAAGCCCAGCACAGAAGGGCAAGCCAGGGAGGCTACTCCCTCTTCCCTGGGTCCCCTTAACACAGTGATAAACAGGACTGCTAGGAACTCAGATACAGTCCTCTCCTCCTTCCTCCAAATTAGGATATATGAGGCCTAGAAAAGTTCAGAGCCCTGTCCAAGGTCAAGAGACAAGAATGAACCCTGGATTCCTACACCACCATGCCACCACACTGCCCTCCACCCTGGCCACCATGAACCTTCAGTGACCATCACCACCCCAGTCCCTTTCCCCAGCACATCTCTCCAAACCAGAAATAAAACTCCCGAGAACCACAAGGATGCACAAGGACTGCTCCTTCCAGGGCGTGCACAGCACAGCCAGACCCAGATCCCTAGCAAGTGAGCAGCCAGACCAAGGGGAGAACTTGGACGACTCTGATGAAGCAGACAGGGGCAGGAGGGCAGGGAGAAGGGCGGTGATTGGTCCCTTTCAAAAGGCAGAAAGAGGGATGGCAGAAGATATGGGGCACTTCCCCCAACTGGGTTTCTGAGAAATGCCTTGTAGGCTGGCAAGACCCTGGGATGAGAAGAGACACAGGAAAGGGCCCCCACCCAATACAGAGCAGCAGCTCTGAAGTCTGAGACCCCACAAGTGGGAAATCAGGGACCTGACCTAGACAGGCAGCTGCACTCGCTGAGTGTGGGCCGGGGGTGGGGGGACAGGGAGGAGGGCAGGGAAGACAAGGCAAGGGTGGCCACAACTCCCACTCTCCCTTCTGCAGCCCAGGGGGCCTGCCCAGAAGGCACCTGGCACCCGGTTCCTACCCCAGATTTCAAAAGAATGTGGCTGGTTCCCAGGGGCTCCACTTCCCTGGACAGTGAGACCTAGCCCTCCTCCTTCCTCTAAGGGACCCTAAAAGTCTCCCTACCACTGCATTAAGACCAAGTGATCTCCCTACAAGAGGCGGGCCACCTGGCTCACTGCCCCCGCAGCCCACCTGGTATGGTCAGCAGCTGACCTCTCCTGGGCTCTGGAGTCTCTTGACCGCCATTGCAGCAAAGCAACTGGCTCTCCGGCTCAGGCCCGGCGCTGTCTGTGTCCCTCATTCCGGCCTCTGCCACTACCCTTGCCCCCATGCAGCTGGTCGGCCCAGGGCTGGAGCTCTGGCTGGCTTCGGGTTTCAGTGGGGCCAGGCCTGCTGGGGCGGCCACGGGAAGGGCACACTCCCCCTGCCTTGAATCCTGCTCAAGGTCGGCCAGAAGGACAGCTGTGGGCCAGGAGGCCCTTGCGGCTCCATGACCCCAGGTAGACTTGCTACCAGCACTCAGACCTGCCTCCCTGTGCCCCCCAGAAAGGGGGTCACTACTGACAAAGCTATTAGGGGGGCAGGAGAACCCAGAGTTTGGGGTACCTGGGCCCCTGAAGATCGAGGGCCCTGGGGACTGGCTGGCAGAGGCAGGGCCCAGCAAGGGGGTCCTCTCCTCAGCCCCAATCCCAGCAGGGGTGGGCAGGACCGCTTCAGCCAGCTGCCGGCAACAGCTGGTGCAGACCCAGACCCAGGCCATGAGGTGGCCACCCCTGTCTACCAGTTGCAGACGCTGAGCACCGTCTGCCTCCTGGGTCAAGGGGCTGGCTGGGGCCTCTTCATGCTGTCCCCTGCAGGTGACCCTTCCTGAGAAGTCACTGGTTCTGGTGGGAGGAGGGATGGGCTCCCAGTCTCCCAGAGAACAACTGCACCCGTGCCCCAGGCCTCCAGCTCCACCAAGAAGCTGGCAGGCTCTGCCTTCCCTTCCCAGCAGCCCCTGCTCTGCCAGGAGAACACCAAGTCTCTCCCCCGGGAGGGAAGCAGAGCTGGCAGCAAGAAGCCAAAGGCTGTTCAGCTGTGAAGAACAAACATGTGGAGAAAGAACATGCCCAGCCTCGCCAGGGCGCCTTCCCAGGGCCTCTGACTTGTTGCCACGGCCCAGCCAGGGCTGCTCCGGCATCCACACTAGCCAGGGTGGAGGCAGGGAGCCAGGCTCACTCCAGCCTCCTCCCCTCCAGTCCAGTCCTGTCCCAGGTGGTCCTGATGGCCCCGCACGGGCCAGGCCCTCAGCCTCTCCACAGCACCCACCAAGGGTTCAACCTGCATACACCAGAAGTGGTGCTAAGAGCCAGGCCCTGGCAGAGCCCTTCTTATCCTACCCTCCTTCCCAAACACACCCTAGCCCTCCGGAGAAGGGAGTGGGGCAGGCGATGGTGGGGACAGTCACCTCCATTCAGGGCACCACAAAGCTAACGCTCACTCCAGGCCCAGCCCACAGCCGTTTGCTCCATCAGCTCGGCCAGCCCATCTCACTCGATGAAACTGAGGTTCCAGATAGCTAGTAAGCAAGCTGTCCAAGGTCACAGAGGCAACGGGCAGCCAAATCAAGTCAAAAACAAAAAGCAAAACAAAACAAAACAACCCCCAGGTCTGTGAGATGCCCAAGCTTCGGCATCTGAGAGCAACTCCCCCAGGCTGTGGCACCCACAGGGACACCCTTCCTAGGCTCCAGGACTAGGCCTGGGAGGCAAATCTCTCCCCAGCTATAAGATCTCCCCACAAGCCTCTACACCCCTGGGCCAGCACCCCCTCTTCTCATCACAGGGAGCATTCCTGAGTATATGGGCATTAGGGAAAGAGAAAAAGTGGTTTTCTGCAGAATGGGAAGGGGTCACCCAAACAGCACTGAGTACATACATCCCTAGTCTTGACTGGCTAGATCAGAATGGAGAGATAAGCCACAGCCCTGCCCTGGCCTGGGAGCACAGGGACCCCATGAACAGCAGAACGGAGGGGGCAGAAAAGAAACTAGGCCATCTCAGGTGGCCTCTGTGTGCCTTCCCCAGCCTGGCATGGCCTCACTCGGTAGACTGTGCCAGGTCAGGGCCAGGCCCCGCCCCAGCCACGGCCTCCTAGCACGTGAGGCTCCAGCAGGAAGTAAGGCCCCAAAAGACACATCACCCATCCCAGGAGTCCTGGGCTTCAAGGGAAAGAGGTGAGGGCAGGTGAGCAGCCTATGGAAGACCCCAAGGATATGGACACTTCTCTTTCCTCCTTCCAGTTCCCCCAGGCCAGAAGCAGGTCTGCAGGGCCCGGGCCAAGGCTCCTCAAGTTGCTTTACTCTGACCTACCAAGAGAAGAGCTGTGAGATCCTGTCAGGGAGCCCCTTTGAGCCCCCAGGCTCCTCTTCAGTCTTCCAGCCCCTTCTCAGCTCTGGGCCCCAACTCCAAGGAGCCCTCCCCTAAAGCAGAAGAAACTAGACACACCAACTGCAAACTTGAAAAACCTGCCTGTTCTCTTAACCCCTAAAAGCAGCTTTATTCCCAAGAAGGTAAGTGACCTTTGCTTCCCCCCACAAAGGGCCCTGATCACCTCCTCAAGAGGATGGGGGAGCCTTCCAGAGCTGGGTCCTGAAGTCAGAAGCCTGGGTAAGAGTCTGTGGTGGGTCTCCATTAATACCCCCCCCCCCCTTCTCCGAATAGTCAGGCGGGCTGGAATTCAAGTCCTACCTCTCTAAACTAGCTTCCCAGAAACGTAAGGAAGTCAATCAGTGCTCCACCAATAGTACGCTCCCAGTTTCCCCAAAACAAACAGCTGTGCCTTTCCCCGAAAGCAGGTTGCCCCAGACAGAGCTTCTCAGCATGTAGCTGAGGAGGGGTCTCACTCAGACCCCCAGAGGAACACTCCAATAGACTCCCCCTCCTCAGCCCTCACATCAGTGTATGATCCCAGCCAATGTGTCTGTCCCAGCTTCTTCCGGGATACACAGGGCAGCCTTGGCATACTGGCCTTGGGCTGGAGATCCAAATGCTCTCAACAGCCAAATTACCATGTGACCTTGGGCAAGTCGCTTCATCTCTTCAGGTCTCTTTGCTAGAGGGGAAGTCAGCCAGCCCCTCTTATCTGCCCCTCCATTCAGAGCCACCTGAGGGCAAAGCCTGCAAGGTTGGCATCATCATCAACCGTCCTTCAGCCCAAACTCTGCCTTGTCCAGGCAATCAGCAAAACTGCCACCATACCCATCCCCTACTACAAGGTAAACTGGCTGTGACAGGTGGCAGGGTCAGAGAGCCTACCTGACACTGTTCACATCCCAACTCACCACCAGAGGTTGGGCAGGGAAACGAAAACGACTCATCCTGCTGAGGAGAGTTGGGGGGAAGTGGGAAACACAAGTAGTTCTGCTCTCCACTCGGGGAAGAAAAGCACCACGGACAATGCCTGAGGCTCTGAGGAAGCTGTGGAGCTGACAACTGACAGGCTGGGCAGGAACTTCAGCCTCAAAGCTGGACTCCGAGACATGATGGAAGGGAACAGAAGGCTCAGGAGAAGTGGAGAGAAGCAGGCCCCACCAGAGAAACCGGCAGCCACTCCCAAAGCCAGGGCCACACAGTCCCCATGGGAGAGAGCTGGGAGCTCCACGCCACACTGCCGACCTTTGCCTTAAAAACTGACGCTGTGAACTGACTCTCTTTTCGCAATAAGGCGGGTTAATGATCAAGTTCTGGCACAAACACCTCTTCCTGCCAAGGAGTTTGGCTTTGGCCCCACACACAGGCAGACCCCTAACCTGGAAGAGATCGGAGCCTGAAGACCTAGGGTTAAAGCCTTAACTCTGAGAAGGTACCAGAGAAACCCCCTGACAAAACTCATCCTAACTAGCGCTCTTCTCACAAACCAAGCCTGGGAGGTCCTAAGTGGAGCCTCGCTTGCAGGGCTGCAGTCGAGCACAGCAACACTTGGGACCCTGACGTGAAGGAGCAAGTGTCAGTGACCCCAGCCCAGAGGGCTCTCCAGGACTCGGGCAGAGAGGGGGTGGGGCCGCCGATTCTATCCATCTACGGCAGCGGCGCACCCCGAAACCGCGTGTGCACGCACGTGTCCCCGCGATCTGGCGCGCGTGTGCCTGCCGCCGCTGCCCTTCCCGGGACCCCACGTGCGAAGCCCCGGCCGGCTGCAGCCGGGGGCGACAGTGAAGGTGACCTTCAGGGCGGGGGCGGCCCGGTGGAAGGCCCAGCGAGATATAATCCACACCGGTGCGGAGAAAAGGCGGCGGTCCCCGTGGAACCCCGACCCAGCTCCCCCCGCTCGGCTCGGTCCAGCCTACACCGCCTGACTCCCGGCTGGTCCCGGCCCCACTCACCGGCTGAGCCCGGCCGCCCCTTGCCACCAGCCTGTGAGCTAGGTTCCCGGGCGCTGTCGGCCGGGGCGGCCGCCGGCAACTCGTCCGTTTTGATGACCATGGCGGCGGGATCCGGCGTCCGGCTCAACTGTCGGTGCCGCCCGCCGCGCCACTAACCCAAGTGCCCTGCTCTCCGCGGCCGCTGCGGGAAGGACGGAGTCACCGGCCCACGTGGTGCGCGCTGTAACCTTTGACCCCACCGCCGCTCCCCCGCCCCGCCTCCGCGCCCGACCCGGTCCACGGCGGCCCGCGAGGGACAAAACGCGTGGAGCTTGTTTGGTCCGCCACCAATGCTGTGACTCTCCCCGAATGTCTTAAAGGGAACGTACACTGATTCAGAGGAGAGGCTTCAGGCCTCCTGGTGGAAGGGCGGGGCTTCAAAGAGAAGTCCCGGGAGTTCCCTCCCAGTAGGGCGGGCACCTTGACCTTGAGTGAAGACTCTCCTGACACTGCCTTTGCCAACCGTCCCCTCCCCCAATGGTCCTCTGCTTCCAATTGCAAAACCGCCAAGTGACCACGCGGTCTCTAATCTGCGATGTTAGCGTGACCCTCATCGCCTTCCTCTCCAAATTTGCCCTTTCCTGCCGAAGCGGTGGGGCTGGGATGCTTGGCTTTTTAAGAAGAGGGTGGAGGGCAGCCAAGGGTTTGGTCACTAGAGGCAGGGGTAGAGAGTGGCAAATGGTGTTGAAGTGTTAGAAATGGACCACTAAACTTTGTCCTGAGCCACAACGAGCTTCTTCCTGCCAGCAACCTCGACAGCCCCACCAGGTGATTTCTCATTTTCAGACTGGTACAGTCACCCCATTTTACAGTGGAGGAAGCAGAGACCAAGGTGGCACAGAGAGCAAGAAGTACAGCTTGGTCCAACCAAATCCACAGCCTGGACACTAACAGTGGTTCATATTTTCAGATGTTTGAGGCTTGGTGGGGACTAAGATGTGAGGTCAAAGAATGCTGCCTAGTGACATTTACCTGGTCTTGCCAGTGAACTGACGCATTCCAGAAGCAGAGAGTGGGGAGTGTCTTCTATGCACAGGCCCAGGAAGCCATTGGGAAGCACTTAAAGCATATTCCTGACATTTTCCAGGATCTAATGGGAATTGGGGAGCTGAAGCTGCAGAGGTGGGCTGGGACAGGCCCTAGG